CTTCCATATATTGAACTGTGGCACTTCCGGTTTTGCAAAAAAGATCCAAAATATATTTATGCACATCGTCGCCTATATCTAAGGTTCGTGAATGTTGAATGGTTGCTGCAACTATTGTAGTCTAAGCTCAGGAAGGTGTGTAAAAAATGAAAAAAAAAAAAAAAAAAAAAAAAAAAAGAATTGACATTTCGATAACAAACTGGGACTTTGCTGAAAGCAAAGTCCCACAAATATGTTTCAAAAACCATACTTAATAAATATTGCAAAATATTAATGCTTGATATCGTGATATCCACTTAACCAATATCACCTACCCCTACATATTAAGATTAGGAATACACATGCCATGGTTCCAGAAACCAGAAACTCCCATACGTAATTTTGATACAATCTATACTGGTACTATACGAGAATATATCAATATTTTCTGGACCCTTGAGAATTTTGCAGCGCCCCTAAAAAGTGATTGGTAGAACCCTGCTGGCGCCAAACATGGAACACTTGAGAATAAGGATTACTGTTTATGTTATTTAGGAATGCAATTTTGACCATCATGAGGACAGTGCAGTATTCAAATTGACCAGAGCTCATCTCCTGCTGCCAGCCAGTGTACAAGATACAAAATCCTCCTCAGCTCAGCTAGTTTTATCAACACAAATTAATTCCACTATGTAAGCTCTCTATGACCCTTTTATGTTGTAGCCATCCCATTTTATACCAACACTGTTTTAAAATTGATTAAAATCATGTCTTCAGGTTTCATCTTCTTATTTCATCAAAGTTTACAACATAGAATTTTTCGATACAAGTGAATCCACATGATATAAAATTGAAGTATTGATATTTATATAGCTGATATAAGCTTAGTCATTACGAATGTCAAGAATTAGATGAATGCATTTTAAGGACAATTTTTTATTTACTTTTCATTGATTGATTCCGTTTTTCTGTCTACAACTTAAAGGGCTTTACATTTGCAAAAAAATTGCTTGTCCTATTTCAAAGTCAAAGAAAATACTCAAATTAATTATTTGGTGGTCTTATGGGCTTCATTTTAACAGCTTATTCCTATGTAGGAAAGCAAAAACAAATAACATTTCATATGTTTTGAAAAACATTTTACTCAGACAGTACATCTTTAAGTACATATTATGTAATGATATCAAAAATAATTGATCTGATGGAATGTTCAAATAGTACAGAAATATTTGATTGATGTGTAATTTAATATGAGATTAAGAGACAATCAGCTGCAAGTATAATTGCTCATTACAGTCCTACCTTGCATCAGTAGCTAAATTTTACAATGTACTAATTAGTAAATTATAATGAAACGATTAGTAATTTTTACCAATTGGTTAATTTTTGGCAATAACCTTTTGTTTCCCTGTAGTCCCGGCTAATTACTCAAGATAAAAACAAGATCGAAGACTTCATTTGTAGCGGTATGACAGTTGAACTAAAACTGCAGTTATCCCACATATTTATTTTTGGTCCCAATTGATTTCCTTCTTATGACTATTTAAAAAAACTCCAACATTCTGTGTATTATGACACTAATCAGTGGTTCTGACATTCAGAAAAATCTGTACAATCCTACATCACTGATCACTACGGAGCCCCTAAGGCGCAATTGTAAACATATTTATTTATTATTTCGTTTAAACGAAATAATTAATTCGTTTAAACGAAATAACATCATTTATTTCGTTTAAAAGAATTAATTATTTCGTTAAAACGAAATGTTATTTCGTTTAAACGAAATAAATGATTATTTCGTTAAAACGAAATAATTATTTCATTTAAACGAAATAATTAATTCGTTTAAACGAAATAATTATTTCGTTTTAACGAAATACACTATGTTTATTTCGTTTAAACGAATTAATTTTTTCGTTTATTTCGTTTAAACGAAATAATTAACCCATCTTTTTATTTCGTTTAAACGAAATAATTATTTCGTTTAAACGAATTAGTTATTTCGTTTAAACGAATTAATTATTTCGTTTAAACGAAATAAACATAGGGTTTTAACGAAATGATTAATTTCGTTTAAACGAAATAATAAATAAATATGTTTACAATTGCGCCTTAGGGGCTCCGTAGATCACCAATAAGATAATCTTCCTTTTCTATAATTATTAATATATTGAGTTGTTTATTTAAGTCCTGTTTATTTGTATTTTTTGTTGTTATTATTTCATTCTCATGTTCTTCATTATCTTATTTCGTATGTTTTATATGATATTCAGTTTTAGTGTATGTATTAGGGCCTGTATTGTACTGTGTACTTGAACACGTATGTGAAAGGTGCATGATAAAAATGTGTATGATAATCGCTTCGGAGTATTATCGACAATCATAAAACATAATATCATATAAAAACAAAAGATTTCAATTCTGTATGATTGATCACCGCCAATGACCTCCTCTCAAGACCAATTCTTTTAGATCAAATGGTTTGGGTCATTATTTGAGGTACTTGTCATTGATTACATTGCATATAATGGAAATATGCAACTTAACCAATCTTTGTCTCTTGTTTTACCACAATTATCAAGCTGTCATTTTAGTTTGGCTACAATGTCTGAGCGTCCTGTGAAGCCTGCTTCTACTGATGTGTCTCTGGATATGAAACAGCAAATTAATGGTGATTGTGAAAATGTGCATGTCCAATGCAGAAAGATTTAATAGCTAAGAAATTTGGTATATAGGTCAAACAAAAATAAGTGGTATTTTACAAAATATCCTGGTCCATTGATAGCAGTGCTAAAGCAGAATTCGTCAAGTGAAGACATGAGAATAAGTTTTACTTGTCCAACTTCAGTAGGGACTCAGGCTGAATTATATAGGTAAGTATATTTTTTCTGTTTTAATATTTCTAAGTATATAAATATATGTAAATATAAACTTACTAAGCTCAGGAGGGTTAACTTGATATTTTTGATCATTGATGGATAAAGTAAAATTATTCTTCATAAGAATATCAACAGTAGTAGATTTAGCAATCCTGTTCCCATCTGAAAATTGAAATAAAATCAATCTGTCAAAGCAATTTTCAATAAACTATTTTTCATGACACTAATTTAATTGAAATGAAGTGTAGCAGTCTCTCTATAATGGAAACATGATAAAGTAATCTAGTGTTAATAGCATCTTATTGAAGACCATTTGACTCAGAACTGGCTATAAATATAAAGGGGTGATTAAGTGTAACCCATGGCAAACCGACATTATAAATAATAGATAATTTTTATAATTTATATCATATTTTGCAATAATAGAGCGTAATATCATTTTTCATTTGTTTAAAGAGAGTATGCTTTTGTTTCGTTAGCTATCTGGAGCTAGATAAAATTAACATCTTCATTATTGAACCTTAAATTCTTGACATAAACTGAGCATGAAATACCAATAAAACACAGGATAAGTCAGCCTAAGTTCTTATTTATGTTGTAAAACTAATTCTTAAAGACAGCTTGCAAGGCCAGGTAACATATTTTTAAAATATTTTTTAACACATTTTTAAAATATTTTCAAAATATTTTTAAAATATTTTTTAACATATTTTTAAAATATTTTTTAACATATTTTTAAAATATTTTTAAGTCAAGGCAAAACCTCAAAAACAGTTCATCAAATTATCAGCAAAATCAAACATGAACAAGGTCTCATCAATGTATAGGCAATAAAGGCAATAAGTCTGAAGCTGTTCATCCAATTATTACCTGTAAAAACTGTAGAAGCAAATTTGATGTATTTTTACTAAGTCATGGGCAATTTCAAGGAAAACACTTCATTCGTTTGTTACCAAATCCAAACTTGACTAAGATCTTATCAATATATACATGCAAACCAAGATTCGTGTAGATCGGATAAAAACTGAACCCTTATCATGCCTACAAGCAAAATTTGACGCTTTTTATTAAGTCAAGGGCAATAACTCCGAAACCATTCAACCGATTGTTACCAATTTGAACTGAAATCTCCTCAATAAATACATGCTTACTAAGTTTCATCGAGACTGGATAAAAACTGTATAGCCTCTATTGTGCCTACAAGCCAAATTTGACATGTTTTTACTAAGTCAAGGGCAATATCTTTGGAACATTTAATCCGATTGTTACCAATTTCAATTTCGACTGAGATCTCATCAATATACATAAAAAACTAAGTCTCAATCATGCCTGCCAGCAAAATTTGTTACGTTTTTACTAAGTCAAGAGCAATAACTCTGAAACTGTTTATCGGATTATAACCAATTTCGAACTTGAGTGAGATCTCATGAATATATATACATGCATACCAAGTTTCAAGTTGATCATAAAAAACTGTAGTCTCTCTTGTGCCTACAAGAAATGTGATCCGATGGACCGACAGACGGACATGGCCAACTGTTATAAATTAATGTACAGATTTCAGTCAAATAGAGCCTGAATTGTAGAGAAAAAGATGACAGTATATAATGAAAATGATTTGTAATAAGAAACCAATTCGCTAAGAAATTAGTTAACTGATCTTTTTAATTATCCAAAATGACAATTACCTGATGTGTATATTGCAGATCTGTCAATACCACCATCTTCTTGTTGAATAAAATTCAGGAAATCTCCAACAGTGTGAGTTATAGGCTTTAGGGTGAATTCACAATTTTCTCGACGAGATGGTAAAGGCACAGAAACAACAGGAAGGCCATTCCTTAAACTAACTGTCACATCTTGAAAAAATAAATTAAACCATTTCACTATTGTTTTTATAATGAGGAGTAGATTCAAAAGTTAAGATCAAACCAACTGGCAATCTATGGGAGACTGGTTAGTTCAAAAATATACTTTTAATGCCTTAGAATAAGATGTAAAAAATCAATTTCTTTCATGCAACTATAATAGAGGTTTACAACTCACTATGAAGCACATACTGTGGTTTCGTGTAAATTGATTCAGAAAGTCTACTTGCCTTTATATTGTTGAACTTGTGTAGAATATGAATAGTTAGGAAATTTGTTGAGTAGGATTACTGTTGCCTGTAATAAATTGAGATCAATTCAGTCAGAGCATTTTGAATAAACTACAGTACTTGTAAGCTTATAACATAGAAGAAATTTGTTTGTCAAACTAAAAAACCATAAATAATCAATAGCGTAAGCTATAAGGACCATGTCCTTGTGTATTAGACCTAATTCTCACACATAGAGTTTATCTTTTTATTATTAGTTTACTTGATAGTGTGACCATTTCCCCAAAACATTATGGGAATCAATATTTGTGAAATATTTGGAATTGCATACATCGTATCTGTTTGTGATGTCAGCAGTTAAACCTTTGCTGTCACATTCTCAGAATTCTAAGACTACAATAAAGTACAATATAATGGTATTTGGTAGAAGTACTAAGACTAAGGTCCAATTGCTGTGATTATTCTTTTGTTATTTTTTTTTTGGCGTTGCAATTTCAAATGTTCAAAAACCAAACCATAAGCTTAAATCTATATAGATCTGAAGACAATCAAAGACAAATAACGAGCTATCGTGTGAAATAAAAAGGGGCCTGTATGTTAGACCAACAGATATATAGCAAAACAAGTAACACTAGTGTCGTCATTATATTACAGATTATACACTTATTAGTATTGTAGAGTTGAGTGTGTTCATCGCAAAGTAAGAATACCACACCAAATATTTTTATGTGCTACCTGGCTAACGGCATTTAAGATAAATATCAATGCCATTAATAATGGAGATTTCTTTATTAAAAGAATTGTTAAATAAATCAATTTTCATTAAATCATACACTTTTTTCCATTCATGATTAGATCTTTTAGATAGTCATCAGTATAATATCAGTTTAAGACCCTCAATAATCAAGTCAAGTGACTTTTATTCTATTGCATTAAGTTAATCTGCACAGATCTACTCTATAGGCTTCTTACTTTAATTAATGTCAATGGCAAATAATTAATCAGTCAATTAAATGAGATATTATCGCTGTTTTAATTCGAAATTTAGTTCAAATAAGGCCATAATCTGAATGTTTTAACGTTCGGCATTTTTCTGCCTCTTCGGCTGTCAAAAGTCAACTTTTTACGTCTGCAACACTAAAACAGGAGAAAACAAAAGCGTTCGAATACAATTTACTAAGTGGTGAAAAGTTGATAAAACATGTGAAAAGTAAATCACAAACCCAAAAATTAGTTACCTTTATTTGGTCAAATGGTTTATAAAGTTTCTTTCCCAAGAATTGTTTACCGAAAATTTGCCGCCGCAGCAACAACCCAACCGAAGCAGTCGCCATTATCGATTTTAACCATCATTTCTCGGATCAGGCGTGAAAAAGCGAGACTTCAGAGGGCACTTGTTTGTTGGACGAAAACAAATCAATTCAATGTAAATTTCTATCCACATCTCATTAAATTTCTGTTCTTATTTCGCCTTAAACAGGTCAGATATGACAGATTTGAGGCACAGGAATATTGGCCAAACGGATAAACTTGAAACTGAGGTACATCTATCTTTGTAAAAATGATTCTTAAAATTATTGTCGTATTTTTTAGTAGATCTGGGCCACATTCATTAGTAGTGTTCTGGCTCTGCTGAGACTGAGAGTGAGAAGGTACAATTTCAGTGCATTTGTTCTTAGATTTAGCCTAGTAGAAAATCTGATTCTAGTTTCCACATAAATAACTTGGTTGACTTTTTTTTGTTCTTTTTATATTGCTTATTTGCCCAGCTATCTAGGCTGTATATACCGTTTTATTCATGAAATCAATGCAATTGAAATGGCCAATGCTAACTAGACCTAAGCTTGGCCAAATATGCTAATCAAATATGAATTTAGTCCTATAGCATATATGATGATATACAGGCTTAACACATAACTATAAAATGAAATATGTCAATGAAATATGTTTTGACTTGCAAGTGTAAGATTACTTTTGGCAAACTTCCAATATTAAACCTAAAATAATAATATAAAAATATATAAGATGATTCACAACCTTATTTAGTATCATGTGAACTGAAAATAAATGTGTAAATCCGTCTACTTATTAAATAAGTTTGTCAGATATCATAGTGACAGAGGCATTTGGAGTTTCCAGGAATTACCATCTCTCTAAATGTGTTAGAAGACATTCTGGTCAGAAGATGTGACTATCAGCCACTATTTTGTCTATTTTGCTACATAGCCTTTGATTTTAGAGAAATAAGTTTACTTGATACAAATTTAATGTTTTCAGAGATTGTTAATGCTAATGTTGTCAATGTTTCTCTATTTACATTAAATTTGTTTATTATTCAGCCAGAAGTGAAAGATGATCCACAAGAAGAAGAAGATGATTTACAACCAGGGGAGACAAGTGACCCATCGACATTGCCTCAAGCTTCAGATAAGACATCAGATGTATTAGACAGTGCATTAAAAGATATCAATCCAAGGTGATATTCACGTTATAAATAGTTTTCATACGTATCTGTAGGGTATTAAGGTAGTCTGATATGGAAGAATGACTAAATTTTACATTATCAACCTTCTCTAAATTATCACTCTTTTCTACTAAAGATTGTTTCCCTTGCCAAGTCAAAGGGACTGAGAAATGTTCAGTAGTGTTGATGGCAAAATAAACCAATGCCCTGTGTGCTAAACACTGTGTATATTAAAGAGTGATGCTGATCTCCTGGCATATAATCCCTCATTGCACTTCTCATTGGGTTGTCTGTCTTAAGCATAACCAGCTTAAGCAGAATAACTATAAATGAACCTTTATTCTCTTCTATTGTTGCCTTATATTGACCATATAAGCAAACTTATTAGCTATAGACAGGATTCAGAAAAAAATTGATATTTTATTTGTAGAATTTATATTGTAAATAAAAATTATATTATTTCAGATGGAGAAATTGGATTATACGTGGTATATTTACATGGGTTATGATATTTTCATTCAGTTTTATCATTTATATGGGACCATTAGCCCTTATCCTCTTGGTAAGATGAATTTTTCACACTGCTCTTGTGTTGTTTCTCCAGTGATCATATATATATATCATAGTCCAATGCTAATAGTTGATGGATGAATACAAGGTGTGTTCCTTTTCTCCACACCTAAAAGAGAAAGATACAAATGTTTGTTTACAATGAAACAATTTATGTTTACTAGAATCCTTTCTACCTGCTGGTTCTTGCCAAAACTCTTGGCATTGATCTTTCCCATGTAGTGGTGTAGCGAGGATTTCAATTATTTAAAGGGCACTAGTCAAGGTGGGGAGTTAGGTGCCTCCCTCCTCTTCCTGGACAAATTTCTTTTGTGGGAAGCTGAAGAACACATCTACAACCAGGACTAGAATCTCGACCACCGGTCTACATCCCTGACTTCTATATTTGATCATTGGTTAACAATCATTTTGCTTTTTCAAAAATAGTTTAGTAATGAAGTGTATTTTTGTAGGTAATGGCCATTCAGATTAAGTGTTTCCATGAAATTATTACGATTGGATACATTGTGTATAGATCTTATGATTTACCCTGGTTCAGAACACTAAGCTGGTATTTCCTGTTTGCCTCTAACTATTTCTTCTATGGTGAAAGTTTGGCCGCCTATTTTGGTGTTTTGTTATCTAAGGATGTAAGTAAACATTTGTAATTTTTTTTAGGTTCATAAATATATTGGAAAACTCAATTATTGACTCCGAACAGGCTACGAGCTCAGAAGAGAATAATTGGTACATGACTGGTATGTTGGATGATTGCAAGTCCTTGAAACTCAGATGAATGAAAGTTTCTAATTTATCTTTCAGGAGTTTTTGATGCCGTTTATGAGATATCATCGTTTTATTTCATTTTCTATGTATGTAGCTGGTCTAGTTGCATTTGTTTTTAGTTTAGTAAAGAAGCATTACCTAAAACAGTTCACATTGGTGAGTTTTTTTTTTTAACTTTTGGCTGCATTATGTATTTCCTAATTAATTCTTTTAACTTTCCATGCTTAGAACCTAGTTTATCAGATAGTTGTCTTAATTTTGTATGTAGTTGGATTTTGGTTCTGTCATTTGAACTATATACTGTAATATTTATTTTGTAGTTTGGCTGGACCCATGTGACACTGTTAATTGTTGTAACTCAGTCTCATCTTATTATACAGAATATATTTGAAGGTCTCATTTGGTAAGTCAGAATTTTGCATTTTTGCTTGTACCATAATGAAAAGTTAAACCTGTTTAAATATCTTAATATGTTTATTAAGATAACACTACATCATTCTGGTGTTTTTGGTTTTGAGGAATTAAACTTAAATTGTGTCAAAGCAAGTGAAAGAAATTAATAGTATTGTACAACTTTTTCCTAATTTTGAATATTTATATTTCTAGGTTATTAGTTCCAGTGTCTATGATTATTTGTAATGATATTATGGCATATATGTTTGGCTTCTTCTTTGGAAAGACACCTCTTATAAAGCTATCACCAAAAAAGACTTGGGAGGGATTTATTGGTGGAGCCCTTTCAACTATTGTATTTGGTATTGTTGTAAGTATTAGGCCTTTTTCTTTTGAAAATCTCTTGTGTATTTGTTTTCTAGAAGTATGGTCTAATCTCTAACAGAGAGGGGCTCAATATTCAATGACAACTGATTAAATCAAAATTTACAAAAACTGCACTGAATGATCTCATACTGTTTGTTTATTCTTAACACCCTTTTCCATACCATTTACAGAACTGATTGTTAAATATATATTTCTATTTGTAGCTTTCTTATGTTTTGGTGCAATTTGATTTCTTTGTTTGTCCATTACGCTATGATGATATAAAAGAAAGATTATCTATGGATTGTGAAAGACATCCAGTATTTAAAGTGGTAGAATATAACTTACCTGAAACTCTTCAAGGTTTATTTAGATTGGTAAGTAAGTCTACTTACGGTCAATTTTGACTGTTACTATTACAATATATTGTCAGTAGCCATCCCATGCAGGATGGCGGTATTGTCATAGAAAATTTGTCACACTGTAAAGTAAAACAATATTACATTTTCTATGGATGAATGGAAATTAATATATTTAGTAATCTTACATCTTTTGTGGTCTAAGGGAGGTAAGTTATCAATAAAAGAGTTGCTTCCCCTTAACCGGATTTGAAAACTTTTAAAGTAAGGGTTCTGTAAGCTCAGATACTCAGAAAGCTGTCTGTTCAATATATTGATATCTTTTTAATACTTGCAGATCAGAATACCATGGAGAACATTTAAGGTATATCCTTTCATACTGCACTCTATCTCTATGGCAATATTCGCCTCTGTTATTGGACCTTTTGGAGGTTTTTTTGCCAGCGGATTCAAAAGAGCATTTAAAATCAAAGTAAGTATCTGCATGATTCAGTGTACTTATCTCATTTACTGCGATAATTTTAAAGTTTCAAGTAATGAAAACAATTCAACATCATGTTAGGTAGTGAGCTCTGGATGAGTCTGTTCACTGGTGCAGGATTTGGGGAAATCGAAGCTCCCATAACTTGATTTGTTTTACTCTTATAATACCATTGGAGAATATCTCTCAGATTGGGACCCTTTTCATACTATCTATCAATGTAGAATTCTACACATAAAACAGATTTCTGTCAAATAGTTTTAGAACTGGTGCCCTGGTACATCTGAACCTCCTTTGAAAGTACAGAATAGTTTTCATATGGTAAACTTCAAATTTTAAAAGACTACATATAAAGTATTTAGGACTGTTAAAATTTATCAGTTATTGTCATTAATTTCATTAAAGAAAGGGGTTATATTATTTGTAGGATTTTGGTGATACCATACCTGGACATGGAGGTATAATGGATAGATTTGACTGTCAATTTCTTATGGCTACATTTATTCATGTTTATTACTCCAGTTTTATCAGGTAACTTTATTTCTTACATATTTATTGGTATGTAGGTTAATTGGTAGAGATGTAACTGACTGCAACTCAAAAATCTAAAAGGCTGGGTATAATTTGTCATTCAAGGATGTTTCCAGTTATTTCATTTTAGGGCAGTATAAATAATCATTGAAATTATATAAAGCACCAGTAAGGCCTACATTGATGAAGGCTCTTTTAAATTAAATAAATGTTATGTATTGAGTTGTTTCTTGAGGTTCTAAAATATTTGCAAATTCCGTAGGTTATGTGTTGATATAAAAAGTTTCTTTGAATTGTGCCTTCGTAAACTTCAGACTCTTTGTCACGAAGATCGACAACTTGCACACGTTGGCTTTAAAATATGAAAAATATCTTAACCATAATCATAATTTCATATGTCATAAATGTTATTTTATTATAGAGTCCCGAATCCGGCAAAATTAGTACAGCATGTTTTTACTTTAAAACCAGAAGAACAACTTCAAGTATTTTATTTATTACGTGACAGATTACTAGCCAAAGGACTTCTTAACGACACAGCAACTGAAATGATCACATGATCGTAAAGTCGTAAAGAAATGATTTTAAATTTCTTCTTTTGAGGACCTTTGGTTTGTCGCCAGAAATATCCTTATATGATTATCTTAATGTGTATGATTTGAAGATCTCTTATTGGTCAAGTTTGTTTTAATGATTATTAAAATATGCTATAATTGAAGTAAGAATTTTTCTGGCAACAAGCTTTGAAGTAGAAAAAAGAAATATGATTAATTATGATTAATCTCAGTTTTTATAAATGTTGTGTTTTCCTTAAATCAAGAGTATTAAAATAACTACAGACATATTTTATTGAACAGTTCACACCTTGTATGATTTTTAGTGATAAAATAAAAGCATAGATGAAATGACAATTTAACAAGTAAAGACCATAAGATGAGGTACTGAAAAGAATAAAAAAAATAACATGCCTTGACATCTAAGACTTGAACTAGGAAAATAAATTTCCCATCACTTAAGATTAATATATATATATATATATATTGGAAATGGAATAGAAAATGGGAATTAACCCTTTGAACCCTGAGTGTAAGTGAAATATAACGTCCTATACCCTGAACTCCAAGTAATAAAAGTAAAAGTGTATGAAGTTAACGTTGTATGACGTCACTTAGCAACGGCAGGTATACTGGCTGCTTGGGTATATATTGCGTTAGTGTAAACCGGCCGCTAGGGTTGAAAGGGTTAAGATTTTTACAGATTTGCTCTTGCATGATATATTTCAAGAAATCTTATTGGTCAAGAATTTAGTAATCCAAGTATCAGTCTGCTGGTTCAAAAGTTGTGATAACTCTTGGGAGCTCAGGCAGATAGGACTGGTAAGTTCAGTTTTATCTGTCTGGATACCAGTTGTTATATAATGATTGTTTAATGTTTAAAGGAATTGTCAGGACCTCTTTAAAACCCTTGAAGACTTTAAAGATAATATTTTTGTGAACCATGTAGAGTTAAGATGATCAAGAGTGTAAACTAAGGAAAACGATTGTTGTTAATTTAACAAGATATAAATATTGTTTAATTAATGTTATAGATATCAAAGTTAATGACTGTATTACTATTAATGTATTTATTTAGTCATGTATTATTTTAAGCATATAAATGCCAACAATTTGTAAAGTCTTCAAAAAAACTAAACTAATTTTTATACGCCCACATCTCTCCATGTCGACGTATATTGTCGGCACCCCCCTTCGTCCGTCCGTCTAGAAACTAGAGTTTTGATGGAGTCAAATGAAATTCGGTATGTGTAAACATATTCATAAAACGAAGATCAAGTTTGAATTTGAGCTATTTTCGACTGTTAGAAGTTATTGAGTTATTGCCCTTGCCCCAAAATCTTGAATATTTACCATTCGCATGCCGCGGTGGGCGTATATGGCTAAGGTCCACTATCTTTGCTAGTTTTGTTGTGCTTTCAAGGTAGCTTTTTGTGTACATGAAACATTATTAATGTTGATATATATAGTATAATATATGATTCTTCTTGTTAATTGTCAAATACCAAAAATTTAAAAAATAGAGTTTTGAGTGTGAATGGTATTGAATACAAGGGCATGATTGAATTTTCATTTTTTTTCTTATAAGTTCTATCTATTATACAGTCCAAGAGACACTAGGAGAGGAGGGTGACTTGTTTTCATGTAATTTAATATGGCTGTCATGGTTAAAAAATGTTTCATAGTCGTAACCACTTTATTTTAATGGTGCTTTTAGATGTGAATAATTTATTGTGTGAGAGTTCAATTTATTCTGTTTTATTTTTTCTGATGTATATTTGGTAAAACCCTGTGAGCAGTGTTTCAAATGGGTTAGCATTTGCACTCAAATTTATTTTCATTAATAAAAAACATAAGATATTGAAGACTTTAGATTGATAGGTTTACAAAAGTTCACTACTTTGATTTTCCCAATGATTAAATATCCAGATTATTATTACAAATTACAGAGTAGGGTTTTATCATTTATACATTTTTTTATTTTCTGTTTTTAAGATTTATTTGTTACTTTTTATGCCAATATAACAGCAACTTTTTTACACTTTTAATTTTCTTTTAAATTTCTTTTAATTTTAAATTATTGATATGAGGGTCATTTATTTAGGATTAAATATTTTATTTAATATTATTTTATTAAGATATTGTCAAACATTAAGAAAATATCAATTTGGCTGTATTTATAATATATAGGATAGAACAAGAATTTCTTTGCTTATCTATATCCATCGCATGAATACTGGTGATACTTTACTCTGTGTTCTATTGGGTGTTTAAATAAATATATCTTACTATCTGCATTATTAAAGGGGCAGTATGCAAAATTTTCATTATCAAAAACATCAAAAGTTATTTCTGAACACATTTCTAAAATATTATCGACTTGATCAAATTGAATTGTTTTATCAGGGTTATTCAAAAGCTTTGGCTTTGTAGATATTATTAGTTGAAACCTGTAGAATAAGTATTTTTCTCTACAATTAGGCGTTTATTTAACTTAAATCCGTACAGTAGTTTTCTGTGTTTTTTGTATTTTATGTGGCTTGGACAATACAGAGTTTTTTGTTTATATTAACAGCACTATTCAAATGTAATAATAATCAAAACCACATCAATGCAAAAGCATACACATTTACTCTCATTGTAGTGTTTTATTCATGGTTTAGTTTTTATATCATAATAAATTAGTTAAATTCTTTAATTTTATACATTAAGTATTTTTTGTAGAATTGTTCATCAGCCAACTTAGTCAACATGGATACTACTACTTTCTATAAATCAGTAGAAATCAAGATTGACATATTTAAACCTTCCTGGCCTTTACTAAACCATTGATTGCTATCAATACTAAGTAAACCATTTCTAAAACTGAACGGAAAATATATTTAGAACAGTCACATGTGCAGTGTTGGTGCAATATAGGAGTGATGATTTTCAAGCTTAAAGATGTAATGACATAAGCTGTAAGAAAGGTATTTATGGCTTCATGCTTGATGTGTTTCAGATAGTCATGAGCCTAACTTTAAATAATAAATTCAATGTTAAGTTTTTGAAATGTCAGTGTTAATATATTATGTTTTATGTTGTTGGCATTATATGTTATAATAAAGTCTGTTTTACCTATACCAGAGCTTGTAGTTTCATCATTACAATTACACAATATAGGTTCTGAAGAGGAAATGAGGGGGGTGGGGGGGGGTTGGAGAGGGGAAGCAAAGTTTCGTCAGCCTCAGTTCTGTCTTGTAGGACCAATTTCTTGATAACAAATACGAAAGAAACAAATAAGTTCTAATTCTAAGGTTAAATTTGAGATGTCTAAGAACTAGTGTATGTATGATTTTCAACATGTAGGTCAAGCTTACTGTAAGCTGCTGTCTCAGTCACTGTTGACCATTAGAAACTATGGTCATTTATTTTCAACTGACCACCGAGGTGGAAGAGCAGCTTAATGGTTGACAGTTCAGTAGTTTAATTCTTAAGATTAATTTAGTTGGCCACCAAATATTATCTTTTCGGGCAGCGGGACCAAAACAAAGAAAAATACGGGTAAAATTTTAAGGAAAATTTCGAGCAAACCAGTCTACCCCCCAAATTGTCCCATACGCTTCTATCTGATCACTAGTACTACGACTAATACCGGTATCTAATATTTGGACTTAACACAATAGTAGTTTTCTGTTGTCAGAATATTCTCACTAGATAATGTTGTAATGGAAATACATTGTACTTGGATTACTTTTCCCTACATTCGTTTGCCGATTTGTCCAACAATAACTTTTAGAGGTAAAAAAAAAAGAAGCCTTTTCGGACTAGGTTACGTTGTGTATATTGTGAAGTTATCATATTGTGACGTCTGGATAATATGATAATGTAGATGGTAGTCGTCGTTGTTGAGTCAAATATGAACTATTTCCGGTGAAGCCCTCGATCATAGCAATAGTATTGGTGTGACTTTCGATAATCCGGTATGTAAGTTTTGTTTACATATTTTTATATAGGCTTATGGATGGAGTAGATCTATTCTATAATAGATTTGTGACGAAAGATAATGAAATCTCATCTGTTTGTTTCTTTCCAGGTTCCCCTACTTTTGACTTTTCGTTCAACTCTTCCTTCGGCATCGATTCAATGAAAAATCAGTCAACCTGACATTGACTGTCAATGTCAAAAATTTACGTAATTCATCATTAAAACACCGACAGGATAGATCTGCCCGATACAGGCTGTCCACGTCATAGTATATTTGGTTGATTATTAAACAGATAACTTATAGGTCACCTTGGTAACCAAGACTGAGAGTGAAAACTTTTCTTTGAACTGAAGAATTTAGTAATAAGGTGACCAGTCCAGTGTAATTGCAGCCAGCTGTTATACCATCCCAGGTGAATGGATTAGAACATCTTGGACTTAAAAAGCTCAGGCACTACAGTTTGTGTATAGGCTAGGCTAGGCTAGCAGTTGCTGTACCAGTTATTTGGTATTCTTAATGAATACCCATTCCTTGTGCCACAATAAAAGACATTTCCACATATTAAAGACTAGAAAATGGTGTATCATTTATTATCTGCCATGGCTCTTACTAGGTCAGTTGTTAGAAGGAGCCTTATTAATACCGTAGTGAGAGGTTATTCTGAGCAAGTTGGCAAAAATGTACCAAGCACCAAGCATTTAAATGCATCTCTAGCAGCTGCTGAACCTTTCCTAAGTGGTACCTCTTCAATCTATGTTGAAGAAATGTATTCACAATGGCAGAAAGATCCTACTAGTGTTCACAAGGTAGGTTTTCTTTATGAGTTTTATTTAAATCTGATAGTAGAATTCTATATGACACATAAATTATATATCATGATAGGACATTCAGATCTTACACAGGCTTTAAGTATTTAACTGTTGTTGTAAAATGATGATCATATTGTATTACTGGCAAATATTACTGTACATGACATGTCATGCATAAATTCAACAAGTTTTGTGTTTGGATAATACTTTATGAAAGCACAAAAAATCAAACAATTTGGGAAAATAATTTGAAATGGTGTTTGCAATACTTTACTTATTTTAATCTTATTTCAGTCATGGGATATATGCTTCCAAGGTGTAGAGAATGGAGCAAAACCTGGCCAGGTTTACAATAGACCACCTACATTAGGTATTGACAAGTTACCTTTTCCAGCTTACTATCCAGTACATGGTGTAACCACTCAGCCAGATCCAGAGTATGTTGATAGTATCATTAAGGATACTTTAAATGTTCAGTCCCTTATAAGAGCTTATCAGGTACCGTTTGTTTTCTATTTTTTATCTCGATTACATGTGTATTATAATGGTTTAACTTTTATTCTTAACTCTTTTCTGACAGTAAGTTAACAATTAAATGGCAACTGATTAAAGTCTTCTGGATTAAGCTAGTCTTTAGCTAAGGCTTGATTTAAAAAATCTTGTATTGAAACTTCCATGTATTTGAGTTGAACCAATTCTTTCAAGTTTCTGTCTTTGATCTATTAACTTAGTAAAATGTTTAAAAGTGCATAGAGGTTTGAAATGTTAAGAGAATAGTGACATGTATATAAATTTATGATTTTTCACCCTGCTCTTACTCTTAAATGTATCTTGTTGTAAGTTTGTATTTTTCTTTTCAAATTATGAAAAAATTTAGGTGAAGAATTGCTGCAGTGTTGTATTGAGAATTTTTCTCAAAGAATTTGGGGTCATATTTTTATTTGTAGCATTTTCCTATAAGTTTAAAGGCTAAGGGAATAATGAAATAAACTACCACTGAGTTCTAAAGTGATGATGGGTCATGATGCCACAAATGTATGCTTATGTAAGCTTATGTCAAGAATGAAGAAATATTTGATTGGACAGAGAAAACTTTTATTGTGTCAGCATAGAATAAGAAAACACTTCTCAGTAAAAGACAATCTGTATTAAGACTTCTTTAGAAATCTACTAGTAGTGTAGTACTTGTTTCTGACAAACAGAAATATCTATTTGAAAACATTGATTGATCCATAGTTAAATCTGAATACCTCAAGCAGAGTTCAGCATTCCATCAATCTTCTGTTACTTTGTCACAAATGTTGTCTTTAAACTTACTGGTGATACACTTCAATTTATGTTTAGATCCGGGGACACAGTATTGCTAAACTTGATCCCCTTGGTATTTTGGATGCTGATTTAGACTCTGAATACCCCAAGGAATTAAAAATGTCCACTTACAACCTGGGTAGGTACAATTATGCAATTTCTGGGTGTCTCTACATGTTTATCTTTGCTAAATTCAGATTCTTTGGTTTCCATTATTTTAATTTGAAAATAATCCAATGATAACATTTAATCATAAAGACAGTAAGAACAATTTTTGTCATATGGTTTTAGTGCATTCAAATTCACCTAAAAGAGTTGAACCTTGACTTAGAAATATTCAGCATTTGTATTTGATAAAATGTAGGATACCGATACTACTTTAGCAAAAATAGTACATGAAAGACACTCAGAGGCATTTGATATTTATTTATTTTCAGATTCCCCATCTTACAGGGGTTCTTTTTTTTTCAGTTTTTCAACTTTGACACACTTTCTTCTTTTAGAATTCAACTAACCATGAAACTAACCCTTTGCTATTTTAATCGAATAAATTTATATTTTTTTTTTAGACATTTTGGAATTGTATTTGGTATATGTCATCTGAAAACTCTCCATTCTTTACCTTTGCTTTTCACTTTTTGCACAGGTTTTTCAGTTGTTTCAGTTGAGAGATATCACATCCGCTTAATTTCTCTTTGGTCTTTTCATTTCAAACTAGCTACGTGGCCACTTTGTAGCAGATGTGGATCCACTGGGAATCAGCAGAGCTGATTTAGGTTTATCTCTGCCAGAGCTCTCTTTAGAAACTTATGGATTTGGTAAGACACATTATCTAGACTAGTTTCAATAACTTTTGGTTGTAGCAATAACTCTTTTATTTTTCTACACAAACCCTCAAAAATGATTTTACAAATTTTGATATTTATTTTTTTTGACAAAATGAAATTAATGATATCAGAATACCAAAGTTGACCAAACTATGTTGCATTTATAAATTGAATAAGTTCTGAATATTCTAAAAGCAATCTAGATTTGTTTACTTCATGATTTTTTGCTTTCAATGTGATTGTGTTTGTCTAATTCAACAACAATAGTGTTATGAAAGGTATAGCTTCATTTGATCTTTACTGAATATCTATAGTATTTGATCCTTGAAAATAAAAACAAAGGTAGGTATGATCTAGAAATTCTTAATTGACTTGAAAATCACAGTTCAATAGTAAACTCTTCAAAATTGAGTTGCATCAGATATTCTGATTTTAGGAAGCTATATCTTTAATATGTCTTGTATCTAAATGTCTAAGGGCCTGGTTAAATAAGCATGTTGAAACGGACCAGGTTGAAATTTATTGGCTCTTTTTATGAAGGAAAAAGGACCTTGATTTGAGAAATTTATTTGCTTTGATTTCTGGAAACCATGTCTTTTTTATAAAAGTATGCTGAAGGCATACGCCATGGTTTACCATCCCAGACTAGCCTGTAAAACATGTTTATATAAATACCAGATTGGGTCTGATAGCCAACAGACTTCAGACTGGCCAGCTTTCCATATAATTATTGACAAAATAATGACTGCAGGACCGAGATGCCCAGCAAATGCCACATATAAGCAGGCCCTAATTCTCTATAAACTAAACTTAGGTTGTCTAATGTCACATTTTTTTTGTATGTGTAATATTAAATTAAAATATTTTTTTAGTCTGTGTTTTTGGTCATTCATATGTTAACAATTAAGTTTGTTAGATTGTCATTCAGAAATAAACAATCAATATTTTTTTGTGTTTACCCCAAATTTTGTTTTCTTGCCTGTTGATGCACTTAGTAATACACATACGAAGGCTGAAGACACTCTTTTTTGAGTCCTTTTAATCAACTAAGATCCTACCACTATGACTGGAGCTTATTTATTCATTGAAGACAGAGGGTTTTAACAATTTTAACTAGTTTTTAACTAATTTGGTTTATTTCTTTCAGTTGGTTAATTCCTGTTAATTTATTATTATTAATAGAGAATTTATTTTGCTGAACATCTAATTACACATTTATTTCATAATGTTTATTTAGTACATACATTTTACATATTGTTTCCACATTTAATTGTTTTGACAATATCTTTACATTATTTTATATAGTCTCATCTATGCATAGTAAGTAACTTCAAAATTGACTCTATCCCAAGCAGGATTTCACTAGTTTCCCTGCTGTGTATAAGTTCCAAGGTTACAAACCATGTAATAGCTATTGATATGAGGAATTCATTAAGAAATTCAATGTATAACACTTTTGGCATTATGCCTTAAACAATTGTTCGCAAATTTATTTTCTTGAACAAATATTGTAAAAATTTATGATTTTTGCATATTGTAATTTCTAATATAGAGAAAGATTTAGATAAAGAATTTCAAATACCTTCTAGTACATATATTGGAGGTGGTGCAAAAAAATTACCGTTACGGGAAATAATTAAAAGATTACAGGTAAGATGTCTTCTGGATTTTTGAAAAATTCCCTTCCCACAATTTTACAAGAATTTTACTCATAATGAATATTTTGCAATAATGAAGCAATAACTGATATTATTTAAAATGGTTGAATGAATATTTGTGTATACTGTTTTTCACGCACATTTCAAGAGATTTCTGTTACAAAATCAGCTTCGTAATGCTGAAAAGGCTATATGTTAATATTTATAATATTTCTGAAATTTTTGAAAAATTATGGCAATTATTCATTTGAACCACCTGAGTAAAAGTGACATCTAAAAAGTAAATTTATTATATGGGTGTTTTGAGACAAGTCTCAATGAAAGCTCTGGCCTAGGTCACAGAGCAATAGGTAAGCTTATTATTATATGAAAATTAGTCATTAGTGTTATGATTTTACCGTAGTTGAAAAGACACGCACTCACAAACATACACGTACTCTGACATATAATATACTGTATATAGCAAAACACCAGTCCTGAAATAAGTATTTAGTGAAATCTAACTTAGAAATCAATTAATCTATTGATATAACAATATTTGTTTAAGTAATTATTTGATTATAGGATGCCTACTGTGGTCATATTGGAGTAGAGTATATGTTTATCAATGATCCACTAAAAGTAGATTGGTTAAAACAACAGTTTGAAGAACCTGATAAAATAAAGTTTTCAGGAGCTGAAAAGAGATATTTACTAGATCGTTTGATTAGATCAACTCAGTAAGGACCTTTTCTTCCCTAGGTATCATAAGTTGCTTATGTTCTCAATGTGTTTCGAGAACAGATCACATACCTTGGCTTCCATTGGCGACAATGGCTACTCACTTATGGCAACCATAACAAGCCTTAAGTCACTTTGTATATGAGCGAAATGATATTTTTGTCAAAATGAAAACAGATATGAAACCTCTATAGGAGAAAATTTACAAATTGTTGTATGTTATTAGATTTGAAAAATTTTTGGCCAAGAAATGGCCATCGGAGAAGAGATTTGGTTTAGAAGGTTGTGAGGTTTTGATACCAGCTATGAAAACTATAATAGATTGTTGTAGTGATGATGGTGTGGATTATTTTGCTATTGGAATGCCTCACAGGTTGGTTGATATTTATTCAAATAGATAATCATGAATACTGTGTTTACATCTTTATTTCAGTGTTTATATTCTAACATTTTTTGATTTTGCATTATGGTGAAGATGTAAATTGAATCTTTCTACTCTTGACTATATATTAATAATAAATGCCTTTCTACGATTCATATATATGCAAGTCAAACGAATGAGTTAAATGTGCCTTTTGAAGCAACATCTTATATAAATGAAATGCTTTTATATTTTAATAGAGGCAGATTAAATGTACTAGCCAATGTTTGTCGTAAACCACTGGAAAAGATTCTTTGTCAGTTTGATCCTGATATAGAAGCTGCTGATGAGGGGTCTGGGGATGTCAAGTATCATCTTGGTATGTGTCATGAACGTGTTAATCGAGTTAACAATAAGACCATCAAGTTAGCAGTAGTAGCTAACCCATCTCATTTAGAAGCTGTGAATTCTGTTGTTATGGGAAAAGTGAGGTCTGAACAACAGAAGCGTGGTGATAGAGAAGGCAATACAGTAAGTAAGTTAGTTACTGGAATAAAGTCAAACTTACTATACTTGCCATTCATGATCTGGTTTAATTGTTTGTTAAATTGAGTTCAGTTAAAGGTTTTTACTCAGATTTGGTTGTCATGTAAACAAATAATAGTGGGCTTAAAATACAAGTCAGTGTTAATCAAATAATCCAATTATTGTTGCATAAAGCATTTGATTGGTTGATATTATTAGTAACTTAAAAATGATGATGCATTACATTCATCAGATCATGGATGAAACTATGGAAAGGAAAATTCATGATCTGCATTTTATTAATTTCATTTAAAATTAGAATTTTTATGACGCAAACGAGTCATGATAGTCGATTTTGGAGGAAAATGATTAATCAAACAATAAGCATGATTTGACCAAGAGATGAAGCTAAGCATTTTTAAAATAAAGAATTTTTGATTAAGATACAGAATTTTTAAAATAATGAATCCATTTAAAAATTTTGAAACAAAATATCTGAAATCAATGTATTTTAATCAATAGGCTATGTGTATTTTACTACATGGTGATGCTGCATTTTCGGGACAAGGCGTTGTATATGAAGATATGCATATGAGTGAATTACCAGCTTATACAATTCATGGTACAATAAATCTTGTAGTCAATAACCAGGTGGGTCCTCATTTTAATTTCTGTCTTGTTTTTCTAATTCTTGATTTGACCCTCTGAACCCAATAGGCTGGTATAATATGTTTCATACATTTCAGTAAGCCATTATTCTGACTTTCTGAGGCCTTATTCTTGAAAACTCAACTTAAGATGATTTTAGTGTTCCAGTCATCTGATTGAAATTTTAGATTAAATCTTATTATCCAATCAGATTACTCATCTTCATCAGTATATCCATCTTAATTAAGTTTTTCAAGGTCACTTCTAACATGTAGATTAGTAACGACTTGACCAATCATATTCTTTTTTTCCATGTGATTTTTACAGATGTAAAATTTTGGACAAATTTAGTCTGAATAATGGCAAAAAGAAATTGAACGCAATAATCAAGATTTTCAAGGACACTGACTGTGGGAAGATGGCCATTGTAATGGCCATTTTGAGACTGAAAATGTGATGACTAAACTATCCTAGATGGGTTTGTTGTCGTCTCCTTATAAAGCCATATATTTGTAGCTTCTTAAACTATGATTCCAGGATCTGATTCCCATTATTTGTATACCAAGATTAATGTTGGTCATTGCCTCTTACTAATTAGTAACTTATTATTTTCAGATTGGATTTACAACAGATCCCAGAGTGTCTAGATCTTCACCTTATTGTACTGATGTAGCTAAAGTTGTCAACTGCCCTATTATCCATGTCAATGCTGATGATCCTGAGTGTGTTGTTTATGCATGTATGGTAGCGTCTAAATGGAGAAAGAAATTTAAAACAGACATTGTTATTGATTTGGTAAGACAAAAGAACTTTTATCTTTTTCATCATAATTGATTGACTTAGTTATGCAAAACATGTACATAAAGTTTTTATAAAGAGGTTTAATTTATGTGTATCAGGCACATTAATAGCATCAATTTGCACCATTCCAATTTTCGATCAGACATCTTTGTTTCCTACAATTCCACTAAAACGAAGTGTTTGATGAAGTCTAGTCGCAAAATATGTTTTGTCACATGATAGGCCATCAGTTTTAGAGGAATTGCAGGATCCACAGATTTGAAAATTGGAACAGTGCAAATTGATGCTATCAGTGCCCCCATACACTTAAAAATTTGTTAGAAAATCTCTTTACAATCCCCTCAAAGTAGTTTCATTGTGTGATTCATTGTGTCTAACCAACTTATAATTTATATGCCAAGGAAATATTTTGTAGGTTTGTTATAGAAGAAATGGTCACAATGAAAATGATAATCCTAAATTTACACAGCCTATTATGTACAACAGAATAGAGAAAACACCTACTGTTTTAACGAAATATGCTGAAAAACTTATTAATGATGGTACTATTACTCAACAAGAATATGAGGTAAGATACTTATAAGCTTATATATTTTAATTACAATGACAAAATATTTCTATAATGTTCAATATGTCATATCTAGAGCAATATAGAAATTAAATAGAAATATAGGAACAAGGGCATCAAACTGCAAATAGATAAGGGATCTTTAGTGTGCACAGCCTTTGGCACACAAAGCTGTATCTCAGATATGCAGGTATAATTGAATCTTTGTGTGGACATTTATAGTATAAACAAGTTAGATCTTATGGGGACATTCTTTCTATTTTCTTTGCAAACTGAATTTCAGCAGTCTTTAATGCTTAGCAGAAGTCAGAATTAACACTCACAATTACTATACATATCATGTAGTCTTAACCGATAATGACATATGTAGCAAATATTTAAACAATTATATCCCTTCCATGAATAATGTAATGGAGATGTATCTGAAAAGAAAACTTAGAATTATCAACTATAACATGGAATATATTTTATTTGATAGAAAGCCTTAGATTCTTATGAGAGAGTTCTAGAAGAAAGTCATAAATTATCGAAGGCTGAAATAGCCACTAGTCCTAAAGATTGGATAGACTCCCCATGGGATGAGTTTTTTGAGAAGAAAGGAGATAAAGATGTCTTACACTATCCTAGTACTGGTATAACAGATGATAAATTAAAACATATTTTAACCCATTGTAGTACACCACCATCTGATATTCGTATACACACAGGTTTGTAATGCATTTTGAGCGTCCATTTTTATATGCCCACATGAAATTTAGAACGTATAATGGCGTCACCCATGTTGTTAATTATTTATTATCACCCAAAGACAAACCTATTGAAAATCAGAAAAGTTACTTCTCTTGTTCTTCAAAACATGTTCAATTTTCAGCTTGTATACACTCCAAAAGGCACAATTCTTGCCAGATTTGAATTGAGGACGTGAGGAATGATTTAACAAGTATTGAAAGAGTTTCAACCCTTGATATAACTAAAAAATAAAATTTAAGCAGCTTGTGAATATAATAGAGGATACAAGAATTCGTAAGAACTGTGTTTTATACTATTGTAGGTGTCAAGAGAATATTAGCAGCTCGTCAAGAACTAGCTGATAAGAGAATGGTAGATTGGGCTGGAGGTGAATTCCTAGCGTTTGGTTCACTCTTGATGGAAGGTATTCATGTTAGACTAAGTGGTCAGGATGTTGAAAGAGGAACATTCAGGTAAATGTTACAAATCTGAGACCAGAACAGGGAATCTGCTAAATGAATTAAACCCCCTTGTTACCTTTGAGTGAACTTGTCACATAAAATATGGCTGGGGAGTTATACAGATAGAAATAGTAGGAAAATGCCACTGTCTTGACAGATTTTCCCTCATTGTATACTGCATGATGCTGCATGGTACTTTCTTTTAACATGGTGCTCGGCAGTTGATCTGTGTTTCTCAAAAAGAATAATGGATTTGCATATGTAGATTTACTTATTCATCATGAAAATAATTTAATCTGATATTTCATTCAGGTGAAAATTATTAATGGGGGACTAAACTCTTTTTTTCAAAAAGTCATTTGATCAAATTTGAAGAATTAGTTTTTTAAAAATACTAAATAGAATGTGATGTTAAGATTTTTGAAAATGATTTTGTAACAAGTCAATGTAATATTTTAACATTTCAGTCATCGTCACCATGTTTTACATGATCAATTCATTGATAAAAAGTTCCGAGTACCATTGACTACTTTATCTAAAGATCAAGCTAAATACACTGTGTGTAACAGTTCTTTGTCTGAGTTTGGTATTTTAGGTAAGAATTTATTCTCTTTAATATCTATAATAGAAATATTAATCCAGGTTATTAATTTAATCATGAACATAGTCATAAATTATATTGATTGAATCCTTAAACCCTTATGGGTTTTGGGGTAGCTCAGTGAGTTAGACGCTTGCTCACTAACCTGAGGGTGCTGAGTTCAATCTTGGCATAGGTCAAGATAAAACCTTCAGATTTTTCATCTTGTCAGTAATTCAGGTCTTAGGGGCTGACATGGAAAAGTGTCTAGTTGTTCGAATGGAACCATGAACCGAGTCCCTGTGTAGGCTGCTGCAGGCAATTTTTCCTTCATTGCACACTGCATGGTGCTGTATCTTTTTATATGGATAAGCTTATGTGATTGAAACATAGTGTAATAAAAAAAATACCTACTTGATTGCTAGCCTACAAATCAGCATTTCATAACTTGCCAAGATAACTTTCTATTTTTGAATCTCAACTGGTATTTTTGCAGGTTTTGAGCTTGGATTTTCCATGAACGATCCCAATGGTTTAGTATTATGGGAAGCTCAGTTCGGAGATTTTGCTAATACTGCTCAATGTATGATAGATCAGTTTATATCTAGTGGACAGAATAAATGGGTTCGTCAAAATGGTATTGTTATGTTGCTACCACATGGCTATGAAGGCATGGTAAGGTTATAATAATACTTATTGTAATATTGAACTTTAAGAACTTTGTGTACCGTAATGGAATAAACATAACATTTTCTTTGACTTTGTTGTTGTAAATTTAGAAAATTTTCATCTAAATTGTGGGGGAAACACTATTGTAGAGTCGCTATCTTATCAAAACATAAAAAAATCTTGGTCTTTATTTATTTTGATTATATAGGGACCTGAGCATTCCAGTGCCAGATTGGAAAGATATTTACAGTCCTGTAGTGATGATGAAGATGTATTCCCAGTAAGTGTCTTATGTGTTTACCCAAATTAAAGGAATATGAGATCCTTCTTGATTAACGCTATCCCAGAATTCATCCGTTATAAAAAAAAAACTGAATTGTTCATTGCTTGATATCAAATTCCATCTTTAGTTTAGTCAAATGGATTGTGAACCTGTCCCCTTAATATTTGTACAATGGATTTTGAGTTTAAACAATTATAACTATTATGAATTATTTTTCAGACTGAAGACAATGATCACTTTTTGATAGAACAGTTACATCAAATAAACTGGTTTGTGTGTAATTTTACAACACCAGCCAATCTCTTTCATGCTTTAAGACGTCAAATCTTATTACCATTTAGAAAACCTGTAAGTATTTCTTGATATAATACAGGTGTACACTGGGGTACCAAAAGCAGAGTCCATATTCTAATATGAACTACCAGGTGTTTTCCAAATTAGAGCCACTTTCCTCTGCAGCATAAACTAATAGTGATGCAGAATTGGAGTTTCTTTCTATTTTGTGTGGCCCACTACTGTCTGTACCATAGTCTGGTACCAAGTCTCAACGACCTACAAAAGAGAGGTGAATAAAGTGCATAGGGAATTTTGATAAACAGATATTATTCTGAGTTGCTAAAATCATACACTTCTTGAGATGCATCTGACAGCAAGCAGCATTGTTTATTGCTAATATTCTAATGTGTAATTATGTATTATTGTTATTTCCAGTTGATTATTATGTCACCTAAAAGTCTGTTAAGATCACCAGATGCAAGATCACCATTCGATGATTTCATTGGTGATTCCTACCTACAACGAGCTATACCAGAAACTGGTGTAGCAGCAGAGAATCCTGATCAAGTAAAGAAGTTGATATTTTGTTCTGGTAAAATATATTATGAACTTCTCAGCCAGAGAAAGTCAAGAAGCCTAGATGAAAGTATTGCAATTTGTAGAATTGAGCAGGTAGGTTTTCGTTGTATATTTTTCTGAGTATATAATATAATTAAATGATATGCAACAAGAGCTTCTGAACTGAGCATGCGCAAACTCAATATGCACAAAGCAGAAAACTATGAACACTGCCCAGGCCAATTTCAAACATGAAACTTTTAGTCCTAAACTGTGGTTTGTTTTTAGATACAATGTATTCTTTTTATTTTGATAAAACCTCTCTAAAGATCTAAAGACTGTGCATGTGCATGTGCACGATTTTTGTTGAGGTAGTACATAAGTGGCTTTCATACATGATTGATTCCCTTATTATTTCACTTCTGATTATTTTGTTGTGAACATTTTGATGTCTAAGAATTGCATATTTAACTACTTACTTGAAAAATATTTTTTACTTCATACTTGTATTATATACATGTATCCCATAGATATCACCCTTTCCATATGATTTGGTTAAAGAAGAGATATTGAAATATCCAAATGCTCAGTTGTGCTGGACACAAGAAGAGCATAAAAATATGGGAGCCTGGCAATATGTGAGACCAAGGATGAGAACTGTTTTAAGGAAAATTGATAAAATCGAAGAAGACATTTCGTAAGTATTTGTATGCCACCTTTGTAAAAATGAAATGAAATGAATTGAGTTTTATGCCACCTTTGTAGATGTACTATCTAGATAAAAGGCATCTGACTACATTCAAGAGTGGTTCAATGTGGTAGCTTAATTTATAAAGACAGATACAGTCTTGATTTTAAATTCACTTCTACTCAGGAATTCAGCCCAATTATTTTCATAACTGACTGTTCATTCTGATGTTGTATTTGAATGATATAGATAATTGTATTTATCTGAATATTCATTCGTACTTCCTAAATAAGACAAAAGATTTATTGAAGGAGATGTCATGTAACTGTTTATAATATACATTGTAGATATGCTGGTAGAGCAGTGAGTGCTTCCACAGCTGCTGGTTCCAAACAGAGACATAAACAAGAACTGGCCAGTTTGTATAAAATGGCTATGATGCTGTAGAAATAACAGTTTTTATAAGCTTGATAGATTGTTTTACCTAATACCTCAATGAAATTGTAATCTTTGTTTAAATCTGTGAAATATTCAAATTTGTTTATTTTAATAACTTTATTCATTATGGACTCTCATAAGAGAGAGTGGCTTGAATGTTTTTGAAGGGTGAGCATGCCCTGCGTCTATAACCCACAGCAGTACTCAATATAGTGAAGCTCCTGTTTACTATGAACTGATATTGTTACTATAAAATTTGTATATTTAGAATTAATAACTGGTAACAAAGTTTAAAAATAATGATCTTTACAAGGAGAGAAACTTATGTATTTTGACTGTTGGAAAAATAGATAGACATATGATATGTATAAAGCTATGCATGTTTTCACTGCATGAGTATTAAAATCTTTTGTGGTTGGTGATATTGACTTCTATTTGTTGCTTTTGACATTTTCGTTTACTCATGACAAATAGATTAAGGTTTTTAGGGAATGAAAAATGAAGTGGTCTTAAGTATTCTATTTTATGATTGATGTTGATCCTCTATTTTTGTATCTGATTGCGTTTGAGTCAAACCTACAAAGAGAAAAGAAATAGGAAAAAAAATTGATAAATATTTTTGTAGAAGCATCTCAAACAATGAATTATTTTTATTTTAGTAGAATTGGTGGAGGACAACTTTTTAAAATCAATAAATAAAGATCTGCTTTTAACTTTTTCAAGTGTATTTTTTTTTCTGCAACTAATGCATGGATGGCACTAAGTTTATTTGAGTATACTTGCGCTTAATGTCTGAATACAGTTCCTAAAAGTGTCTAGTAGTGATTTTGAATTTTAGTACAAAAATATACTTACTTGCTAGTTTTTGTGCATTTTGAGAAATATAATTAGGAAAGAAACTATAATAGTTATTAGCATGTTCAATGTGATAAAAATAATCCAAAATATGATGTGGTCCTTTTTCATGCTATGTAGTATTGAACCTTAATTGTTTTGATTAAATAAAAACAGATTTTAAAATGGCTTCTTATTATCTCAAGAATTTAGACATTTTGTATCAACATACGACTCATGTAGACTCCCATTGTTACCTTTTTCGTTAAGAAGTGTTTACAGTCTGAGTTAAAGATATCTGTCTGATTCAGACTGGTGCAGTTTATTTTGTATAAATTGGGAAATAGGGCTTGTAGGTTAGGAAAATTCTGTAATATCTAAGCTGGTACCTAAGTCTCAGAACTGGGGAGTTTTTTTTAGATAAGCCAATCAATAATAGTGATCAAAGCTCACTGTCAAAATTTTAGCCTTCGAAATGCCTGTTTGAAGTAGTCTTTCATGAGTAAGGTCCAATTGGAGTTCTTTGAGATGCTGCCATAGAAAAAACATCTATAGTAATAGGAAAATAAATTTCTTCTTTTGAAGGAATTATGCGATTGTCGTATATTTTTGTATTACTTCTGAAGACTATTAACATCAAGACTCAAATCAACTCCTCAAAAATGGCAAAATGGCGCATCAATCCCTTTAATTTCTACTGTGGGTCTTAATATCATCCATATACAGTATTCATAAGTCATATTTCCTGAGTTTTTTAGGGAGCCGACGATGAGTCTGCTGCATAGACTTATTGTGTTATCATAGTGTTTTCTAATTTTTGGTGAAAAAATCATTGCCATTTTCAGTTCTGGATTGTCACTTTGGGTAGTTTTCGGAAATTAGTCTCTCCATAAAATGGCGTCGGAGAGTGACCTCGTGGTATCAACGTGATGCACTAGTAGAATTCTGGAATTTTGACGTTGCTAGGTTAGCTTTCATTATGGAAAGTAAATGGTGACAGTGGCATAATATTTCATATCGGCAGGTAGGGCTAAACTTCGTCAAGGGTGTTTCTGGATCTTATATGGAAATGTAAATGAATGTTTGCGCAGAACTTGAATTTGCGGTACCGCTTCCGGTACCGGTACTGTGAGTATTTTCTAGTGCAGCCTACTTCTCAGCAAAAATATATTTTCTATATGAAATACATAGGCTATTCACTCAAAAATGAATTATTTTTTCAACTGGTTATTATTCTTAATGGCGGCAACCACAATGAGCTCAGAATTGAGTTTTCCTCTATGAAATTGAAAGGGCAAAAGCGGTGTGAGTAATTTGTAAATATTGTCAAAATTAATAGAAACACTCCGCATAGATTTATATCGTCGAAAACCTTGTATCTACATTTTAGGTGTTTTCACTTTTTGATTGAATTTTATTCAGAATTGAATTCTCCACCCTATGATAAATCCATGTAACTGCAAACCCAATTAAAACACAAGAAATTAGCATGTGACACATCCTCGTATATGTATTGGTCAATGATCCTATCATATGAAAACCTTGTATCTGCAGATACATGGTAGTTGCTGCTTTTTTCCTTTATCCCCAACTAATGACTAAACAAACTACAGGTAATATCCAAATTGATACGATTTCCTTTTTTATCTATAGATCTGTACCTTACTTCACTTATCAAATAAAATTTGACTTCATACAGTTTTTCTGCAAAAATTCATGAATTTTGACACTTGGAAGATACGTGTATTTCCTCAGCAATATTCAACAGTTTAAGTAGACACGTGTTTTTCAAAGTTCTATAACTTTTATTTAAAAGATGTAATATTTGGAAATAAACGGTTTTCTTTGATTTAAGTGTAAAAGGATCACAGATATCATTTTATTCATTTTCAGGCAGAAAATAAAATGTCTACAGATATAACATTAGAAGAGTTATGCGATATTGTTAACATATCATACAATCCAAATGATTTCGGTGATACGGATCCTTACTATACTTCTGATGAAGAAATGGAAATCTGACCCGTCATTGAATTTGAAAGAGCGATAGAAATTGAAAGAGCTATAGAAATTGAAAACGTTATAGAAGTTGATAAAGTTATTGAAGTTGATAAAGTTATAGAAGTTGATAAAGTTATAGAAGTTGATAAAGTTATAGAAGTTGATAAAGTTATAGAAGTTGATAAAGTTATTGAAGTTGATAAAGTTATAGAAGTTGATAAAGTTATTGAAGTTGATAAAGTTATAGAAGTTGATAAAGTTATAGAAGTTGATAAAGTTATAGAAGTTGATAAAGTTATTGAAATTGATAAAGTTGTTAAAGTTATAGAAGTTGATAAAGTTATAGAAGTTGATAAAGTTATTGAAATTGATAAAGTTGTTAAAGTTATAGAAGTTGATAAAGTTATTGAAATTGATAAAGTTGATAAAGTTATAGAAGTTGATAAAGTTATAGAAGTTGATAAAGTTATAGAAGTTGATAAAGTTATAGAAGTTGATAAAGTTATTGAAGTTGATAAAGTTATATTAGTTGATAAAGTTATAGAAGTTGATAAAGTTATAGAAGTTGACGAAGTTATAGAAGTTGATAAAGTTATAGAAATTGATATGCGCATAATATATCAAACGGGCTGACAGATAGTTTTCTTCGATAATGAAATCGTAATATAATGTACGTAATCAGAACGCCATAGTAGGCTACATTTCCAAACATGACTTTCATAACTTTGACGAACCTGAAAAATGTCAAATATTGACTGAGCTTGGTAAACCAATGAAATATCCATGAATATAATCATATATTTCATACATCGACATTGCCATATTGACTATTTGGTGTTATACACTACTAAGTACTATACTGAATACCTCGTATCTTCAAATAAGACTTATGCATGCTTAAATGACAACCTCGTAAGTAGCACGAATCTCATAAAAATTGGGTCTCACAATAAACAATAACAGGTAACAATACAAGTATACTTCAATGACATTCATTCCAAAAGGCATCATTGTGGCATAATTAGAGTAAAAATGAGACAGTTTTTCTCGATTTTCTCAAAACCACAAATAATCAGTTACAAGGTTTTCACAGGACGGCGACGATATTCAATATGTATGATATTATGAAATACACATATTATAAGCTTGAAAATGAATTATTTTTTCAACTGGTTACCATTGTTAATGTTAATGGCGGGAATGCTTTATTCACACGTAGCTTAATCAATACTAAAACATGAACTGAAACTATCAGGAAACAACCAATGAAAATCTGAAACAACCAGGAACCAAATTATAGATTTGGTACTGGAGTTACAAGAATACTTTCTTGTACCAGAGTAAAACGAATACTTTCTTTGTAAGTACTGGATTAAGATATCAATAAACTGAGGAGTTATTGGAGGTCCTTAAAGCCAATAAGCTATGCAAATATGCACTGAAAACAGAAATATGCATTTGGGAGAAGTGTATCTAATGACTCTTAAAATCAAGATTAAAGTGACCCTGTTGTCGTTTTTCTGCTCGTTTACTGGTCATTTTATGTTTTCGTTGGCTGTTTTCTGCTCGGTGTTCATGTTTTAGTAAGTACCGTGTATGTTATTCACAACCACAATGGGCTGAGAATTGAATTAAGAAATAACTGATATTTGAGACATCCTAAACTTGATGTTTGAATTAGTACAAAAATAATTCAGAAACTTGAGTTTTGAAAACTAATGGTCAAATTAATAGGCCAACCGGAAGTAGACCTACACAGTATTCATCTAACTTTGGGCCCCTTTTATGAACACAAGAGATATTATTCACCAAGTAGTTTTAGCTTATAGGCCTACTCCTATAAAGTGTGTTGTCTCTAGTGCAAATCTGATTTTTGTTATCTCAGTTTCTGACTTAAGTGTTTTTTCTGTATTGATAACAAGATTGAATGTTCATAGTCCATATCTAGAATATTGGAGACCTGAAATTGTAAGGGATATGTACAGTACCCTTAATTTTTCCTTTTTTAATCTTATAGTTATTTAAATATTTGTTATGTAGTAGAACTCAGTTCTTATTTTCAGAATGCCTGAGAACTATGAGCAAAACACCTCAAAACATTAAACATACATATATAATAATCAAACCAACCAATGAATGTCTATTTATGTCACAAGATTGGGCTGATAAATATGATATAATGTATTCAGCTATAGATAGATCCATAGTAAGATAATTATTTTGCAAAGTGCATGAGATTAAGTACTTGAGGAAATGGTCTATAACAATATCTTTTTATTATGATAATGATACACAGTCATGGAATAGTTAAAATACATGAAAGAAATAAAAATTTAAAACTAAAATATGTTTTGTCAGTTTATAATCTAGCGTGTACAGCTACATGTATGAACTAATTGTTTAGACTACTTTTGCCAGTGGGGATTGTGTGTCAAACGGTCATATAAAACAATGTTTAACGAGGTAATATTGCATTCCAGGTTAACATAACACACTCAGTCAAAATGGCAAATATGAAGAGATATATAACAGTTGTGTGGTGTTTTTTGGAAACTTTATTTTTTGGTGGATTAATCTATGGATGGGGATCACTGGTATTTATTTTGAAGGATGAGGATGTTTATGCAGATCTATGTGATGGTAATCAACCGGAATTTAATTATTCCATACCAATTAATCAGAGTGTTCAGGTGTTTAACACAAGTTCAAGTATGAAACGAGGATGTAATGAACAAGACTCCATATTTACTCTAGTCTTTACTGTAGCATCATTTCTCTTCTGTGCTGGTTGTGCTGTTCTTGGTCAAGTGAATTATAAATTTGGTACCAGAGTAACACGAATACTTTCTTTGTAAGTACTTGATTAAGATATCAATAAACTGTTTGAACTGAGCAATTATATAGTTATAATTAACTTAAGCCAATAAGCTATGCAAATGCCACCTTTTTTAGACTTGGCTTCTATCATCCAGTCCAACACGTGCTGGAAGATCCTTGTGAAAGACAAAAAAGAAGTCTGGGTGTAAGAGACTAATGTAAACTAAATAACTGAGCGACTAATTTGTATTTATATATCGACTTCATTGCAAACAAACTAATTATTTATGTTTTCAGTTTGATATTTGAATGTGGTGCTCTTATGATAGCTTTTGTAAGTCCAAGTAAGTACATGTATAAGAAAAATTTGTAAGTTTTAGATAGCACCTAATTTTTAGATGTAGCAATGAAATACTGGGTGATTGAATTGATTTGAAAATTGGTTATGAAACTGATTTTGAAATAATCTGATGCACATCCCAATGTTATATTATAGGTGTACCAGCTTTAATATTTCCTGGGTTAACTCTTATTGGTGTTGGTGGAATCCCTTTATTAGTTACTAATGCACAAGTTAGTTTTCATTATTAATAATTTATCTTATAGATAGATGTCAACTCTACTTAACACCACATACTTGAATTTGTAATCTGATCTACACTAGAATAATTTATGTATTGAACACTATTTTTACAGTGAGAATATATTATTATTGTAATTTATAGAATATATATACTTCACCAACATATATAACACGAAATATCTTTGTGTTTATCTTAAATGAAACTGATTAATGTTATTGTTTTTGCAGATAGCTAACTTGTTTCAAGCTGGTAGCTCTACCATCGTAGGTTTAATGTGTGGTGCATTTGATGGTTCATCGGGTGTTCAACTCTTAGTTAAGGTTTGTAAACATTACTTCGCTATCTAAGGCAGTGACTTATTTCACTAGAATCTGATAAAATATTGTGTTTGACATCTTTTTCTTGCTCAAGTTAGAATTCAACACCATCAAAATGATCTGTTCGATAAAGACTTCAATATATCTTGAATTCTAGGCTTAATCAAGTGTCATTAAAGGGACAGATTTGCCATTTTCGAGTACATATATTTTTTGAATATATGTAAATCAGAAGTACTAAAATTATACAAAAAACGCAGAATTGATCTAAAAATATAATTTCTTTTCCTATTTCTATACATGTCTTTTCTATATGTGGCAGTGTCTCAAAAAAGGTGACTCGTCTTTTTAACTTTCAAATGCGGATAGTTCTGGACACACATTTATTTGAAGGCTCAAATTTCGATGTTGAGCTGTGAACACTATTATTGATTGGCTCAGCTAAAAAAAATTGTGTCATGAAATAAAAAGTATAGGGCAATATTTAAGTTTGATTTTTGTATTATTTTGATAGTTTCAAAATTTCCTTGAGTGGCTTTTAAAAAATTATATAGATAACGATTACTTCAGTAAAATAGATCACAGTAAATATTTTTATTTTCTAGTTGGCTCATGAAAGTGGGTTTTCCAGACAAAAATCATATTTTGTTCTAGCTGGAACACATACTCTTATTCTGGTCAGCACATTTCTGTTTCTACCAAAGGGTTTTATACCTAGATATGATGCACCTATAGAAACAGAAATACCTGAAGGTAATTCTAAGACTGTAGAGATGAAATTGATTAAAGATAAATCTGAAGGTAATCTTACTTTACCAATACTAAGAGAATAACACCAATGCTGTTTGCATTATATCAGTTGAATGCATTCAGAACTTTTTTCTCTATTGAAAGAATCATTTTGCCTATTCCAAGCTGTACAAGCTTTAAATAACGCAAAAGAAATTACCATAAAATCAAAATTTAAAACATGTCTAAACACCTATGGGCTATGATTCTCACAAGTAATACCTTTGTTACCCTTTTTTATGACAGTACTACTGGGTGAGCAGTATACCATTGCTTGACTATACAAGAGCTGTTGATTTGACAATATTTTCAAAACTGGATCTTTTTTATTTTTCTTTAACCTTAATTTACAGATTACAGAGATAAAAAAGGAAAATCGGTATTGTTGTAAAAATAGCCATTTTTGATTTGATCTGTTTTTGTTGCAGAGAAATTTGAATCTGTTCCTCCAATACAAGCTGAACTGATCCCTGAACAAAGTGTTGAGAAACCAAAATTACCTCCATTACGTAGCTGTATCTTGTCCAGTACTTACATATTACATGTTATGTGGGTTTGTGTTCTACAACTACGATTCTATTATTATATAGCATCACTGAATCCCTGGTTAGATCTCATTTTAGAACGTGACCATGAACAAGGTAATTATTTACAAGCTTCCATTTAAGATAGATTTTAATGATTGGCTCGATGACATGTGATGTGGAGAAACTGGTTCAGCTTCCGATAGTTCATTTATCTTGTCTTGTCTTTTTGAAATTTTTGAATGTTAACCATGATGTAAGATGCAAATTTGTAACTTCATGTATATACATATATACAGTGAATCCTGCTCACAGTTACATTCAATATGTGACCACAATAAGTTCTCCTTTGCCCTTACTATTTATGAAGTATTGTCAATGAAATGGCTGTAAAAAATCTATTCTTAATTTCTTTAATGTCATTGCCTACATGTTAAGTTTTAACATAAAACGAAATATCTATTTCAATTTCAGTATCATATTTTACCAATGTTTCAATGTATATGTTAATTGGTGGAATAATTACCTCCCCTTTAGTCGGAGTTGTTTTTGATTTATGTAAATTGATCTCAATAAGTAAGTAAATGATTTACGTCCTATAGTTCTATATAATTATAAAATATTTTCACTGCTTAAAAAGTGCTCAATACATCAATTGAAGAGTGATATAGGAATATTTTAATAGAATCATGCTGTTACTCAGAGTTTCACGCTAAGCAATCGTGTCCAACTTCAGTAGAGATGTAGACTAAAAAAAGGTCAGTTGTCTGAAGAACGCTTAGCATAAAACTCAAACATGACTCAAGTTCTGTTTTAATATTCCTAGTTCTTTATACAGATAGATTTAGGTTAAGAAAATTTAGGATGGTTTTCTGATCAATTTCGATGGTAATATTATATAATCTGAGCTGTAACATAGTTGTTTAGAGTGTTGGTTCTATACATGGTGTCATTGGTTAAGCAGAACAAATTGTGGGCGTGTGTTTTTATCTCTGTTGACATGCGAAAGTACAAAGACCTTAAATAGGTCATGTTCCCTCATTCATTCATTCCGGTAGACCTAGCTGTACTTGGGTATAGATGATGCGGGACAGATCAATGATGTTTGGCCAAGGATCAGCTGGTAGAAAGGATCCTAAGTTAGCCTAAGTTGTTATCCTTGTTGAAATGTAGGTGTTTATTTTCTTTTTAGACATAATAATAGTGTTATATATTATGTTTTTCAGATAGCCATTCAGAATTAAGAAAGACATTATTACCAGCAGTACCTCCATTAATAATTGGTAGTTCATTAGGTGTTTTACTATCTATCTTAGTATTAATACCATCACCAACTATTTTATATGTCATCTTTATAGTAGTTACCATCTACAGATCATTTCTATACAGTGTAGCTGCTGCCTTCTTAAACACAATGTATGTATAAGTAATTGACAAAGGTCAAATTTTGATTTTGAAGCACAAGCAAAGCTGCAAACTTGAAACAACCTTTAAGAAGTTGTCTGTCGAAAAATCTGCAACATGATCAACTGTGATCAAGTTTACTACAAAAACAGAAGCACAAATAACATCTGAATATGGGCATCATTTTATTGATTTACATGTATATAAATCTCTGCCCAAATTGTTCCTACTCTATGGCAACTATGCTGTTTTGATTACAATTCAATGCATATGACAGGTGCTCCAAGTAGTGGTCATTTCATTCAAATTAGTGTGGAGTATTCTTAACATAATGTGAGGTATTACCAGATACAGTAGAGGGTAAGAAGGGGTGTGCATTATATTTACAATTGTAGGTTCAAGATTATTAATAAAATGTTCATATTTTAGGTTTCCAAGTGAATATTTTGGATTATTGTATGGTTGGATGGTTATAACAGCAGGGATTTTTAGTTTTTTACAGTATGCCTTGTTTAAATGGAGTGAAGCTACAAATTTTTCACAGGTAAAAATACATTCCTCATATTGTTGATATCTGGATTAACTGTTCTTCAAAAGAACTGTATATGGCATCTATTTGTTTTCCCGAATTGATGTTCTATTTCCAGTTTTTTGTTGAACGTTCAGTCGGATATAAAAGTTAAGCCAGCTTCGACATTACGTCGGAAGTTATCGGGAAGTTCAGAGGTCATAATACCATTACACATGCGCATTATTTATTTTGATGAATGCTCATGTGCAGATATGATATATCCCGCTTAATGTTAGCCTGTAGCTTTTATACATCAAAACTAAGCTTGCTTAATGCAGGTGGCATGTGAAAGCCTCACAAACCTCTAAACTCAAGGCTGTTCAGATGAAATAAGCAACAATAATGAATATCTTATTTTATATCATATTTGTTTTCTGTATTATATATTTCAGGTCAACATCTTTTTTCTCTGTTTTATGTTTGTGTCATTTTTTCATCCTTTATATCAATGGTGGAGGTGTCGTAAAGCAGAGTCTGTAGCCATATCTGAAGATTAACATTAGGAACCCTTTTGGTGACTCATTAATTCCAGGATAAACTCTTTGGTGGATAACATGATGATTGCCAATGTTTTGGTAGTTGGATTTGGTTGGTCAAGTTAATGATTGTTGGAATATTGGTATGAATTCCTCAGTAATTAAAAATACATGATGTATGAATTTATTTTAGAAAGATATCAATAATTAAGTAATAGAATTGTAAAACTACTTTAATTTCAAAATGCTTATTTATCATAGGCATACTATTAAACAGAGTGTGTAACTGCCAATGTCTGTTAAGTTATATCAGTATTTTTATAAGTCGTGTTCTTTTTCTTTTCAGTATAACTGAATATTTGATTTTTAAACTCCTAATTTTTAATACCCCATAAGTGACAGTTTTTTTTAAAATACCACTATAAATGCTGGTATTTGGCTACATTTGTTTTATAATATTGTTCGAGACAAGTATTTTGTACTTTTGCAAAGTAAATGTTGATAGATATCTTATTGTTTCATACATACATACATTGATACAACATAACAGATATGAGAATTCAAAATGGACACTTGTTATGTAGTTAATGAAAATCATGGTAACAAGATATTTTGATATATTTTTTTTTTTTTGGACATCTTATTTGTTATACATAATTCTATCATATTTATACCCATGACAATATTTAAGAATGTTATGTATTGTAAAAATTTTATTTTGATATATCATGACCCACCATAACTTTATTCTGATATATTAAGTTTATTTACCCATACATCTATGGTCATTTGTTCCTAGGATGGAGACTTTCTAGTTTCTGAATATAGTGTGATTTCATTTTTTGATCTTTTTGCTATGCTCACTGTTGTTTTGTTGCCTTTTTTATTAGATCTTGCTTAGTACTTTTTTATTATATATTACAATGTGAAGATATATGGTTGTCATATATGAGAAACTCCAGTTTTGAATTAATATTGATGAAGGTTTGCAGAGGTATTGCCGTGCATGAAAATTTATGGAAACATTATGGTACTGGGTTTCTGATACACATATATAAATAACCCTCTTCCAATCCCTTTTAATTTTTATGTTTTTCCTGAAAGTAAGAAGTCCTCTAAAAGAAATTGGTTCTTTGGTTATAATAATTGATTTATTTTGTTTATTTTTTGTTTGAATATGTGATTAGCATTATTATTTTACTTTATTTTGAGGTATTCAAATATTTTATAATAAAAAAAAAACATTTAATCCATAAGTCTGTTTTTCGAAAGCAACTCTCAACGTATCTACTAATGTGACTCTGCAAGTTTTAATGCGATACCGTTATGGATTGTTATTAGGTTCCGTGGTTTTGAATCATCATGTCAAAAAATACTTATTCTACGGCCAGTGTTTCCAAACGTCGGCCCGGTATCGGCCTTCGGCCTCTTTCATGTATTAAAGGGACAGGTTCACTATTTTGGGGGTTGTTTTTAAGTCTTGAGTACATGCAAATAGTCTTAGAAATGAACGGAAATCGCACAATTCCTTCAAAAATATCTAACTATATCTAAATACCTAGCTATGAATTTCTATTTCTATTTCTATAAATGTATTTTCTATATTATATGGCAGTGTCTCAAGAAAATACGACTCGTCTTGTTAACTTTCAAAAGCGGGTAATTCTGGACACCTGTGGATTTGAAGACTCAAATTTCTACAGTGAGCTGTAAACACTTTTACTGATCGGCTTAGCTAAAATAATTCTGGGACTAAAAGAAGGAATGATTGGTAACACAAAATGGCACATCTGTCCCTTTAAAGGATTTGGAACAGTATTCCTGTATTATTTAAACCGGACAGACACAAACTTCTCTCCACATCATACGCTTGTAACGTAACTGTGAGATAACAAAAGAATGTAAAGATGAAAGGAGGCCGAGTTCAAAGACACGAAAAAATTATGTATGAGATATGTTATAAATATATATGAAAGTGTAGAAAATAATTCTAAAACAATACAATATGTTCATAACGCGTGTCTTCTTTCTTAGGAAGTTCTCAACTTTACTTTCAACCCGGAAAACATCTCCCACTACCTGACACTACCTAGTTCAGTGTCACCCAAATTTGTCAGAAATTAACCTCTGACCCCATAATAATTGATTTCGTAGTCTTTAACGAAAATACACTATCAGATAGGAATAAAGTCGACTTATGTCGACACTACCCATATCTGTGACATATCCATGAAAAGTCAGAAATCCGCTTGGTTGATATCACTCTCTGTGAAACAGCAGCATGGCATACTACTCAAGAACTAGAAAGTTTATCATGGCGGTATGGGCTGTGGTAGAGACTGTTTTATTTGGTGGTTTGATATTCGGATGGGGATCTATTGTTTTCGTTTTGAAAGACAGTGGCGTCTATTCATACCTATGTAATCAGGATGGTGAAGATTCTGTAACAGGTTGTTCAGCTCAAGATTCCAGATTGTCTCTAGTATTTGCTATAGATTCAGCACTCTATGGTGTTGGTTGTGCTGTTATTGGACAAATCAACTATAGATATGGAACAAGAGTTACTAGGATCATTTCAAGGTAAGCGTTGCTATTAGGTTTTTTGGAACCTAAATATTGAATGAGTTTTTTTCTTTTTTGTATTTCTTTCAGTTCATATCGGATGTCCTTTGCGATGGTATTTCACATCTTCAAATCAAGTAAACTGGAAGTGCATTCGACATTTCAGGAAAGTCTAATTGTCATTCCAAGATCGCTACAAACATTAGCGACTAATTTTGCGTCTTAGCTTCTTACCCTCAAATAACAACCCGGTAGAACACTTAAACACTGGCTACACTCTATGCTCATTTAAGACCTTGAATGCTCCCACCTTTTTGTTGTCATCAGAACTCTTCAAGAAAACCCGGGTCTCCGTTGCCAACTGAGATTGTCAAATACAAACGAATTTATACTCTCTATTTTAGTCTTATATTTATCACTGGAACTCTATTGATGACGTTTGAAAGTCCAAGTAAGTAGACTGATTTTATTTATAAAAAGAACTTGCGACAATAATGGATAGGTCTATGATAGGTTATTGGTATCTATAGGGGTTGCTTTCTCGGACTGTATAGGGATTTACAGCATCGATGATTCTAAACATCTAGTGTAGCCTATGCTTACCCTTCTGCAAAACCTAATGTCACTCTATGAGAAAGATTATCTAATCGGCTTGTGATTTTGTTGATTTGGTACATTTATAGTAGAAAAGCATCTCCCTGGACCATTATTTCTGAAAGCAAAAACCATGCCTGATCAGCCCCGAGCAAGGATGAGCATTATATATCCAGTTTTAATTATAATTTTAGAATCAAAACATAACCTTAACAGTCAGGTATCAGTTTGGTTTATTTACGTTTAAAAGCCTTTGTTAAAAATGCTATTAGTAGAGTGTTTATTTTTAACTATAGACAATGAGTTATTGTTTATGGTTATATTTGTTAGGTATACCGTGGTTGGTGTTTCCTGGTTTAGCCTGTATTGGTATTGGTGGTATACCTCTATTCATTACTAACGCCCAGGTAATCCATTTTCCATGCTTTACACCTTGTACAGAGAAGGATTTTAGCAGTCCAGTAATCACGAATTCCAAGTCCACAGACCCCCATCCCGAGAAAATTACAATCAAACTAAGCAAGAAGCAATATATATAGATGAAAAAGCATCAACTATAAACAGACTGGAAATCTCTTAATCATTCTTTAAGCAGGCATTAATATTAACTTATGAAGGAGTTTCGGAATGCAAAAGAGCATAATGTTCCAGGGGAAGGGGCCCTAACTCACTTAAGTCCCACTCATCTAGTTGAGCCATTATCCAAGTGTGTGCGATGGATATCCATCTATGATGCTGGAGATCCAACCATTTGACCAGTCGAATTTCTCAAATTTTGAATAACTGTATCAAATAAATGTATAATGTTTTCTCTCAAACTAGAATTCACTTTCAAATATTTATTTTTATTAGGTTAGAATAAGCAAAATCTCTTGTTTGTCCATGTGAAATGTGAACTTTAAACTATGATGGCCAGAGGATCAAAAGAATACATTCATTAAGTAACTTTAAATTCAGTTACCTGTATACACTTTCAAAAAAGACATCCGCTATCGCAAATATTTCTATATTTTCCTTCGCCTATGATTTCTACCCAGAATTTGCCAACAAAAGTCGGTTACATCATTCAGTTTAATCTGAAATCAGGCTTTCAGATCTTTCGTTCAGTTTGGGCGGCTAAACGTCTGATGAATCTGGTATAAGTTCTTCAAGAATGTGGGTTTTCTGGTAGCGAGTATTACGGCATACAAGCCGGTATAATTTTACTATTCAAATGATTTTCTAAATCAATTCTAGATCGGGAATCTATTTGAAACTGGAGGATCAACATTTGTTGCTATGTTATCTGGTGCTGTTAGTATGTCTGCCATTATAGAACTCATAGCCAAGGTAAGCACTAACATTAGCTGAGCTGGAGATGGATCGAAACCAAATTTTGGTCAAAGGTAAAGATAAATTCAAAAATTATTCCCGATTCTAGTTCATACATTATACTGGATTGATGGAATATCCTAATATTTTAGAGCTTCTATTGCCTAATTTCAAGAAATACAACGAAATGTTACCCTTCAAAGTCATCGCGTTATATGATTAACGCTCAATTAATTATATCAGTTAGTAATGTAAACCCTTCCTCGTGCTGTTTCGATCCATCCTAGAATATCTATCAATTTCAAACCAACTGATCCGACCAATATATTCTTATCCAAAACATGTGTCGACAACTCATGTCAATCTGAGGAAAATTTTTTTATCCAAGATGCTCCGGTCCATTAACATTGTGTGTGTAAGGGTGGAAATATTAACGTTATTGTCCGGTTACTTGAGCAAACAATACTGGCCGTAAGTTATTATGTAGATCGGCGTGAGACTATTAAAAACTTCAAGACTTTCTATTTTTTCCTTAAGGTCGCCTATGAACATGGATTTTCTACTCAGAAGTTTTATTTATTGTTGACGGGTCTCTACAGTATGACGTTCGTTTCCACATTTATATTCCTTCCCAAAGATTTTATCACCAAAACACCATCGACTTTATTTGACAAACATCAGAAAAAACAGAAAGATGAACCAGTTTGCATTATAAGTTATGTTATAAACAAGGACGATCTTGATGATAAAAACAAAGCTAAAGGTAACCATTATCTAAACACACACTTCCTATTTTTGGTGGCCTTTTTTCATAGTGCCCGAGCACACCTACGACTGAAATAACGATGTTGGCATCAGTTGTCACCAAATGTGTTCATCACAGATGTTTTTAGTATGTCTATTTTTGACTTCTGCGATGCCAGTCGACCTGAACCTTAGATTTACAATTAGAAACACAGCGCTGTATTTGAACGTTTTCTCTCAGTGAAGATAGGGCATCTCCATTTGCACCACATGATATTTTTGAATTTTCCATTGTAGATTTCCATCTTGAAGATATGAACAGAAATAAATTAGAGATAGAATATGATACAGAGAAACCATTTTTACCGTTATTAAAACATTGTATATTATCACACGAATATCTCTTACAAGTTTATTGGTTTTCTATATTACAATTAATCTATTTATATTTCTTATCATCCTTAAATCCATGGTTAAATCAAATATTTCATGGTGATGAAGTACAAGGTAAAATCCATCTTGATAATACTATAAGTTACACTATTATCCATAGACGTACTATTGGTAGCCCAAAAGCAAGAAATATAATGCTGCCTTACATGATGCACAAAAGTAAGCTAGTCCGAATATCTGTCTCATTCCAGCCTCTGATAGATATTTTGACACCAGCCGACAGCTTTTAAAATAGCTACCAGAGGCTGAAACAGAGGCTGAATCTAAGAATTAAGCATACATTATCCTGCTGTCCAATGGAACTGCTTATAAACTTGACAGATTGACGAACATGTACCCCAGTAAATAGAAATGAAATCAGGATCGTATCTCTCTCAATCTATATAACATCTATCCTATACACTTGTGAATATTCTATGAACCCAAGACCTTTTTACCAACATTAGTTTGGATTGGTTTTAATTTTGATATTTTCCAGTGAGTTATTTTACCAACCTTTTGCTATATCTAATGATGGGTAATTTTATCCTATCACCAATTGTGGGTGCATTGTATGATTGGTTCCAAAGATATTACAAAGGTAGGATTTTATGCGTGATCTACGTCGGTGTTTCTCAGTCTTTATGATCCACGTCAGGCCATGTGAACTGGTTATTTGCTCTGTTCAGCTGATGAGTCATTCTCAATATCAGCCAGTTCATTTTGGAACAGTTGCTCAATTTCCCCCTATTTTCACCCCTCCTTTTTTAGATAAAATTCAGCTCCATTCCCTCTCTTTCCAAATTTCACCTACAAAAATTTCGAATTCTCCCTGGGGGTGCATATTATGGTTTAGAAGCACTGTGACGTCATGTTTCAAACTAATATACAGCAACATATTATCAATTAGTATAGAACTTCTTCGTTCGCCATGGCTACAAAATCCAGTGCAGGAAATGTTTGATTTATTTCAGATAGTTCCAGTAAAAAACGAAGAGAAATGATGCCAGCAGTTATACCACTAATGTGTGGTAGTGCGTTAGGTTTAATATTAACAATTCTAATGTCATTACCAGCTTCAACAGCAACATTGTATCCAATATTTACTATTGTGGTCACTTTCCGTTCCTTTGTGTATAGTTCACCAGCATCTGTCTTCAGTGCAGTGTAAGTATGACAAGTCAACTTCATAACAGTTGTAACATCAAAAATATTGCATTCCTTGGACCCTGATTTATTTCTTATATTTATATCAACAGATATTTCCAATTGATTTTAATGAAGGCCATTCTTGCCCACTAAAATGAGAAGTAAGCTATAGGCCCTTGTAGTAGCTGATCTGAATCATTCTGCTGGTAAAACTGTATATGTGTTATTTTAACATACTTCAATAATGATTCAGTCATGGTCAAAACTTCAATATTTCAGTTTTCCTGCGCAATATTTTGGTTCATTATTTGGCATAATGATCGTATCGGCAGGTTTAATAGGTTTGTTACAGTTTGCTTTATTTACATGGGCAGAATCGACTAGTTTTATTCGGGTACGTAAGTGTCTAATCAAATTCTTTTGAGGTTGATTTCGGCCAGTAAGATGCTTACTTGCTAACCTGAAGGTCAGTGATCAATCCCGGCATATAGATCTAGAAATATCGAGTCCCCTTGTTCTATATATAGGACGTTAACGATTCTTCGACAGTTGGAAATCTAAGGATAGGTTAATGCTGCTACCCAGCTAAAGTTCCCTCATTGTACACTGTATGGAGTTTTCCATCTTCAGAAGCCCATTATTTACTCCACGCCTTTCATTTTGAAATTACAATTGGTTAAAGCTTTCATAAATTGGCTGCAATACCTCTAATTTTTTCTTTCTAGGTTTGGCATTGTTTAGTGTTTTTAGTATGTACGACGTTAATACATCCTCTAATTCAATGGAGAGGTTGTAGACGTATGGAAGAAAGCATGAAAAAAGTTCCAGATCTACTGAAATCATAATTAAGTAAAAATATTATATCGAAGTCCAGGTCTACCACCTCCGCAACGTTGTCCAGGTCTATGAAGAGTTCAACAACAAAAAATTGATGGAAGGCAAGCAATGTTTACCCTTTATAAGGATTCAGCTCAAGGAAAAGTACTTGAACAAGAATAATTGAATTGAAAGGCTGGAGCTGTAGCCATTTGAGAAAGTCGAGAGTATTTTCCCAGACAAATTTTCATATGGAACTAAAGTCATATGGAGTCCATGTCAGCTCATGATGCTTTGGTAATACTGCTATTCTAGGAAAGTCAACAAAGTTTTGTATAAGGTACAAATAGAGACTCAAACCTTTGTATCAGTATAAATGGATAAATTGCCTACATCGTGAAGTCAATTTTGACTTTTTGCCATAAATGTCAATAATTGAGCAATCCTGGTTTTACTGGACTTCATACGATTGTTTTTCAAAAACAGTCACATTTTCATTTTACATCAATAATTTAATTAGACTATTATATATCCTGTAAATTGGTGCACATTTTATGCACAAAACGAAAGTAGATCATTATGTTTCATTACATTCAGGTAATCATCACAGTCAACTTTCATAATGAGGCCAGGGTCACAAGAAATAAAGCTCTGAAGATTTGCTATGCGTTTATTCGGAAATACAAACAGTATCGCCTATATATAATAATACTGAGATAGGATGTGACAAGATCAAATTATTTATCAATTATCAAATTAATCAAATTATCAGTTATAATAGAGATAAAATCTGAATATAAGTAATATCATATATATATATACAATCATTATATATTGTAATTATGTATCATCATATATATACAATCATTATATATTGTAATAATGTATCATATACGATCATTTTATATATTGTAATTATGTATCATCATATATATACAATCATTATATATTGTAATTATGTATCATATACGATCAATTTATATATTGTAATTATGTATCATCATATATATACAATCATTATATATTGTAATAATGTATCATATACGATCATTTTATATATTGTAATTATGTATCATCATATATATACAATCATTATATATTGTAATAATGTATCATATACAATCATTATATATTGTAATTATGTATCATCATATATATACAATCATTATATATTGTAATAATGTATCATATACGATCATTTTATATATTGTAATTATGTATCATCATATATATACAATCATTATATATTGTAATTATGTTATACACGAGTTTTTATTAGGTAAAGATTCTTTCAAAAAGATGGGTTTTCTAAGACATGTCTTTTTAATGTCATTTAAAATGACTTATACAAAACAGGCCTTTTCTGTGTGTTTACACATGCACACTGCCTCCTAAAAGCATATTATTCAGAATTAATGGCAGTAATTAACTGATCCCAGAAAATAATATTTCCTTGAGGATCATCAGTATATTCTATATAAGAATTGTTTTTCATAAAGTTTTGAAGAATATCTGGTATATCTTTCATTCTAACATGTTCATAAACAACTAAAATTATAACATTTCTTCCTGTCTCGAGACTTTCCATGTGAGCCATATTTAATTCATAATTACACCAATAACTAGCTATAAAATTACTGGATAAAATAATCACTGTTTTCTTACTATTTCTTACAGCATTTAAAATATTAGCTGCAATTTCTTCTCCAACCAGAAAATCTCTATGATGAATACAGAGTTGTTTCCCTTGTTGCTCTTCCAGCTTAGTTATCATATCATTAACAACAACACGTCTATCTTCATCAGCATAAGATACAAAGGCATCGAAATCAAAACGGTTTTGAGCTGCTCCACCAATAGCTGAATAGCCACGGAATTTACTTCTTGTTAAATAATATACATATCTTAATTTCCATCGATATTTATACATAAAACTAGCTACAACTATTGTTATGATAAGAGCTATGCTTACAGTTAAAACTATCACCAAAACTGTATGAGAGGCACATTTTATCTGTAAATTGTAGATGATATCGTTTAAATTCGCCATAGATATTTCCTTCGAACCCGAATCAACACAAGTATAGTTATCTCTTCCAATAAAATTTGTTGTGTTCGTATTCATCCAATTTAGAAAGTCTAAATTGCCACAAGTACAAGATAATGTTTGACCTTTCAGATTAATAGATAGAGTTTTATTGGCCTTGTGTTGGTCATCACAGAATTGTCTAAATGATTTGGGAAGAGTTGTAAGAACATTATCAGACAAATCAACCATCTTTAACTGTGTCATATGATTTGTTTTCAAGGTAAAACTACTAATTGTATTACGAGATAAATCTAATTCTTGTAGACGTACTAGATTTTTAAATAATTTGTGTGGCAAGCCCCGAAGTTTGTTATCTGAAATCCTTAGGAGCTTCAGATTGGTCAGATTTTGGAAAATTTCACCATCTTCATCATCATTTATAGATGTAGCAAGGTAATTTGACGAGATGTTCAATGTTAGGAGAGATGATACATATCTAAACATTTGTTTGCTTACAAAATCACATAAGTTTATACTTAAATCTAACCATTCTAAATGATCTGCACCAGTTATTGGTCCAATCCATCTATGAAGTTCATTACCAGACAAATCCAAACTTCTTACAATATTTGTGTCGAAATTTATGCGCGGTATAGGATATCTTAAACTGCTGACACTTACATTACAATACTGCATCATTGGCGGCAGTCGTATTATTGGTAACATAACCCCATTTGAAACTTCTTGGAATATTTTATTTGGAGTTCCTTTAGCAGGTTCTCTATAAACTTTATTCATTTCGGTTCTTTGATTCTTCATTGGTTCCAACACCGACCGTTTGGTTTTAATTGGTAAGGGATGTGTCAATGTCTTGGTTGGGATATGTGATTGGAATTGTGTACTAGCATTCAATGTAACCAAGTGCTTTAAACCATAACTAGCTAACATGTATGGTCCCCATGTCGGTTTGTTGTCACAAAAGCTTACCATGGTTATATTTGGTGGTAAGTATGACATAACTTCAACCTCTACAAGTTCTATTCTGTTGCTGTCTAAAAATAAATGTTTAATTGGTAAATGCTGTATTCGTTGTACCTGTGACGTTTTCAGCGTAACTCCGACCTCGAATGATTGTACTAATGCAGCAACATTAAGATATGCCAAATCACTGTGAAGATTCTGTAAAGCAACTGAAGCTGTTTCCAAACCGAGTCTAATATTTTGGGACAAATCCAGATATTCCAAATGTTTCAGACTACTAAATGCATGAGAGTCAAGTCTATTCAAATAACAACGGCTCAAAGTTAATCGTCTCAAATTAGGTACGTGAACAAGGCTATCATTATGTATCTCCTGTGTTTTACAGCTCCCAGCAAACGTTAATGTCTCCAATTTCATTAATTTTGAAAATTCAGATCCTAGCTTTATCGTCTGTATCCCATCAATACTCAGATCGGAAAGATTTTTAAGATGTCCTAAAGCTTGTTCTGGATAAGCATCAATCGGGTGGTATCTATCAACATTATTCGATATATTTAAAGTTTGTAGATTTATTAATGGTTGAAATACCCCAGTCGGATATCGAGAATCGTTAAGACCGAGTTGATTATTTTGTATGAAGAGAGATTTTAGTTGAGATAATCCAGTGAATGAATCCTTGTATAATTTGAAAATATCGTTGAATGAAATATCCAGGATTTTTAAACTGTGTAAACTATGAAATCTACCATTTGGTATTTCATTTATATGATTGTATGATAAATTCAGTAATTTGGTGTCGGGTGGAATAGTTGAAGGGATGCTTGTCAGGTTCTTGTTATAACAGTTGACTGTCTTAAACGAACAGACACATTTGTTACACAATGGTTCTTCATTCTTCTCTGATGTTGTGAAAGACGGTAATATTAAGATGGCGAAAACAACCAACAGCCTGGAATATATGAAATAGAAATATAATAATATTGATATTTGTACGCCAATGATCAACCATATTACAGTGCTCCCTAATTTTCGAAGATCAATCGCTAAAGGTGTAAGTAAAGGTGAGAATAGACGAGGTACAATATCCGTTGGGGTGTACGGTGTGGGATTATTGATAAAGTAGATAAAAACAGAGGCAAATCTAACCTAACCTGTCACCTAACCGGACACCCTACCTCGTCTATTCTATTCAACCTGAACGCACGAATGGCTGTAAAATAACAGTTATAATCATATGCTTGTGTTCTGCTTAGATCATGTCTGAATCTGTGAGCATCCCGTTGAGCGAAGCTGCTAGTCATTCAACTTCATTATCAGCTTTGGTTGTCAGATCCGTCTCACCGCTGAAATATGACTAAACAAGCTTTATACATTAATATTTTTACAATTGACGAATGCTCGGATTTCTAAAACTGACCTAGTTAGACGTTCAAATCCCTTCACAAAGATTTAGATGATAGGGCGTATATACTGGTATAAATATTCAATATTTGATAAAAATTAGAAACGAGCAGTACACTGTCCTACATGTGCATAGAGATAAGGGTGATTGAAAAGTAACAAGTTACTATTCAATATAAGGCACTGGCACAGAGTTAAAGTTATGTTTACAATAATTGTGATGCTAATATGCACTATGAACTAAATCAAAGAAAATCATAACGGTTATCATATAAATCTTCTTGGACCTAATAAAGAAATTCATAATACTTATAATCTACATTTACGGAAATAACATTATTGGGACAATTGTCTGTGGAAAAACAGAATCATAAAAACTCTGACTGCTTCAAATTTTCTGGAATAATGAAGAAAAGCGATTAATGGCTGCAGGTATAGAAAGTAAATTGTTTCATACTATTATATACTATAAAGTACAAAGACAGTTAATAAAATGAGAATATTTAATTCTGTTAGATCACTACATCATCGGTGGGGTTAAGTCGAACAACTATATCCTGTAGATTTTTATTTTTCGAATAAGCCATGACTAATTTTTTGTAAAAAATAGTGGGAAATTTATTTTGTATTGTGTAGTATATTACTATCGTGCGCTTGTCGACGTACAAAATATCCTTTTAAATCATCTGTACAAATTTTAAAAAAGAAAATATATAATAAATAGGTCAATAAATAATTTTTCATCCAAAATGCATACAAATATAATGGATTAATAGAAGAACTTGTTTACCTCATCTTCATGCATAGGCTGCACCAAGAATAATAATTAGAGGAAAGATAGATATCAAGTTTATTTATAGAATTTATTTCTAAGTGTGCTTTCCGAGAAATACTATATATTTATATATAAGACGCCACTCAACCAATACGGACGAGGGTAGGTATTTAAAGCCAACCCCCAAACCACTATAACTGGTCCGTTAAATTTTAATCGAGGAAATCGCTAAAAATACATTTCAATGAATTTTTAACAGCAGGTCGTGACTAATGATGATCGTTGCAAATTTTCAGCAGGAAAATGAGATTTTGTATTTGTAAATTTTAGTATATATTGGATAGCTACGATCTTTTACCCCATATTTCGGTCGGTTGTATGACATTTTACAATCCATTGGCATAACCAACTTTAGTTCAATTTTAGATTCTGATTTGACCGGTTTTGCGTTTGATTTTAAATACGAGCCCCAACATGCAGACCAAGGGGTATTGGCTATTACGCTTTACAGCAAAATCTATATTGAAGATTGGCGTTTATCAAACTATCTGCCTCATAGCGATACAACATTGTTTTTTTTGTGACTGACTTTTTTGTTCAAATTTACTTTCCACTTATGACCTTATAGTTCTATGACATCGACAAGTAACACACATTATTTGAATTTGAATTAGCTGTAACGTGTATGGGTTTTGCTATATTGTAAGTGTTTCCGGAAATTCATGTCTAGTCCTTTAATGGAAAGCTATAAGTATTGTGCAATGATCATACCATGTAACGACTGACAAATTCAAGCGCATGAATGATTTAATATATTCTTGTATATAATATATTATATTATTTGTATGATATAACGTATATTCAGTACACTCAACTTGGTATAGTAGATCAAGAAATCCCTGTATACGAAATGAAAAAAGGGGTATTCAAGCGTGTTTGTGTGTATGAATAACAACTCAAAACTTCATTTGTATACTATTTCCATTTTTCGTGGCTATATATACTGACCATTCCTTTGAATCCTTTTTAAATTTTGACTAAGTGTCTTGAAAATTAACTTTCTCAAATGTGAATGTTAAACACTTAACAAAAGCAAATTGGAGAATATTGGAGTATGATAGGGGTGAAGGAAGTATCCATTTCAAACCAAATACAAAAACATGTATATTTAGAGTAAATTACCACATGTCCTGTACCAACGCGTGATATTTGCTGAATAGATATGCTTAAGGACGCATTCATTACAAACATGCTTGAAAAAAAAATTGCCAGGGAAAAGCTTATAATTGCACAAACAATACTCTCTGACTAGAGGTTAAGCCTGCATGCCCATGCCTGTGCTTTCGTAACCTTACTTAACTGCAATGTTACCTAAAATTCCAAAACTGAAGAAGTGTGGTTGTACAACTAATCCATAATACAATGTAAAAAGGGTGAGGTCTGGGAAAATAAATTATCTCCTTGTTTTCCTGTTTATTTTGTTATATAACCCACTTTAAAGTATTCGAAATTTGAAATATATTACACTGCATTTGACGTAACCTATTCACTCCATTCTTGTAATATATATATATAGCAGTTATATACCAGTAATATTTAGTCTTCAAATTACAGATAGAGGAAATGACAATTGAGATAATTGAGGATCTTAGTTTCACACGAAGTCCGAAACATCAGCCTCTATTCCAGCCTCTGATAGATATTTGTCGGCTGAGGTATAGAGTCAAAATAAATAGGCCCTGTT